GGAAAGTATGGGGGGTAATAACGCGATTCAAACAGGCGAAGAAGATAATTTGATGAAAAAAGCTGTGCACCGCTGATTTAATGACGCCGTAATCGACCTACGATTAGGGCTAGGCATTTTCGAATGCCTTGTGATTTCAGAATCGAATCGAATATTTTTTTCGAATCGAATCGAATCTCGAATACTTGAAAATATAAAATTGTAAGCGACTTTATCATAGTAATTGGTCCTCTCAACAAATGAATTACTGAAGACATAGAATAAATCACTCAGGTAGATTACTGAGCGTTCACACAGAATAACAAACACGTTTTATCAATAACTCACTACAGAAAATAGTCATATGTCAGAATTTCGTTGAAAAAATAGGACTTCAATGAAAAAAAAATTGGGGAATTCACCTCGACCATTAGCGGAAAGATAAAAACAAGATGGCGGCAATTCGAAATTCCAGTCTGAACCGATTCGAATAATTTACTATTCGATTCGATTCGAATATTCAATTCGAAATGCCCAGCCCTACCTACGATTGAATAAACCATCCCCTGGCGGAGAGGAGCTCAGCAATCTCTCTCACAAAAATCAAATGACTAATTGTTTTTATATTTACAGACTGGAACTAATTTAGTAAAAAGACCAGATGGGAAAGTCACATGCCAAGAGAACTCCCACACCGATCCATCAGGAACTCTTCGAATGATGGGGAAAACTTGTGGATCGTCGAGAAAACGACGGGAAACAGGAGAAAGAGTGAAAGTAACTGAATATTCTAAATCTGTGGTTCTTCAATTTTTTAAGCTGCGCCCCCTATTTAGAATTTGTCATGCCTCGCGCCTGCCTCAGAAATAACTAGCTAACAATAAGCTACAAATAACAGATAATAAGACGAAAGTATGTTTTATTCAAAAAACATGTTGAAAATATGTGGATGGAATCGCAATGGAATGTCTACGCTTTCCTTGTTGGCGCGCTCCACCGTTTGTTAATCACTATTCTATATATTCCAAGTCGTCAAACTCGATTGGCTGTGAACTCCCTCCAGGGGCGGGCCAAACTTTTTTGCTGTCCATGACGAGTTTCTGATAACGACGCCCCTTATATACCTAACTTCAAAAATAATTCGAGGAGTGGACAAATTATAGATGTCATTATACATTAGAATGACTAGATTTAAAGATAAAGTAGGAGTGAAATGTTTGAAACCCCCAGAAATGTGAGCATTTCCGTAGCTTGGAACGCTTTCTAGAAAGTCTTTTCAAAACCAACTTTTCCCGACTCCGGCCGAACCCGCTAGCTCATGCGATCTAACTTGGAAATTAGAATTCCAGGAGCTTCAAATTTCAGCAAAAGTCGAAATCGAACTTTTGTCAACTTGAATTTGGTTTTGTGACATAATATTACTAAATGTGAAAACATGACATCAATTCAAAGAGAAGAAGAATAGTTCTAGTGAACACAATAGACTAGAACGTTTAATATTCTTTACTTTCACATTCATAAAAAAATAAGACAACGAGTTATAATGTTAAATGATCTTTCCTTTGTCCCCAGTAATCAAAAAGAGTCAACAAGGTAGAGCGTTTTTAATCATCATTCCCCTTTCCCTGTTGCTAAAAAAATATTGAACCTCTTGAAGTATGCGCAGCAAGATGTCGCACAACCTGAACCATAACCTGGTACACAACCTCAGTTCAAGTAGTCGCATACTTCAAGAGTACCAAAATATTTGTTTTCAGAGATCCAATCCAATTCTGAGTGACAAACACAGAGACGTACTTTTCCTTGTTGACGAGAGCGGAAGCGTAAACAAGGACAATTTTAAAAGAGAAATGAAGATGGCCAAAGCCTTAACTGAAAGTAAGACCTTTTTGAAGTTTCACTCAACATCTGATACTGGTACACACCAGCGATCATACATTTATTTATATGTCAGAAAACACAATGTTTAGATTAGCACTTATGCATGAAAATCGAAAGTTTGCACAAATGCTCTGATATCCAGTCACTTATGTATTTTTTATAAATCACATATTTATTGCTGACAATGTAGTGACCTTATTAGTGATTTTTCTCATATTTTGTAATGCTGCAGTAAAACCAGATCAGCTTATGTCACATTCAAATTTTGGGAAAATCGCCTTTTTGTAATTTTTTGATTTACACCGCTATATCTAAAATGGACATGAGGTACCACCTAATATTAAAACTAAAACATGTACAGCTTAGACCAAAAGATAGCCCATAGTCCAAATAAACATAAAATTAAACAAAGTCCATTTTTGTGGACTCGGTTTAGCTGTGGTGATATATTTATTTTTGAACTTGGCTCTCCTATTTTTTTCAGAACTCTGCGGAAGCATCGCTGTTGGCAAACACACAACAAGAGTCGGCGTTATGACATTTGATAAAGAGAATCATGTTCACCTCGGCTTCGATGAACTTTTTGAGCGACACCAAGTTTTGAATCATATGAAGGATATTACGTGAGTATCACCTTAAGAAATGATCGATTTTATCTGATTTTCACGGAGTTCAGCGGATAAGACCTCAAATATGATAGAATTGTGCACTTTTGGATGCAAGCATGAAACTTGGAACACATGTAGTGTAGCATCTTCTGATTAATCTTGGATATGGTGCCATTCAAAAAAATACCCCGTTGCCATGGAAATGAGGCATTATCCGTATTGCTATCCAAGGGTAAGAATACTTTAGGAAAGAATATTTCCAAGATAAGTAAACCGATGTGTACTTAAAAAGTAAGGAATATGATAAAAAGTGCATTTTGACAATTGCCCTTGATAACAGAATACCTGGTTACCATGGAAACGAGGTGTCATTATCGACCAAACACGATTATTAGTCGCACAACCTGAACGCTAACCGGAACACAAATAATATGTTCATGTAGTGCGCTACCTTAGTGCACATACTTCTGGAGCTCACCCATCCCTACTATTTAATGGACATATTTTCTATGTACATGCATATTGTAGTTGATCAACATGATATCCCAGCCAAACTACGCTTGGAAAAATTACCGTGTTTTCACGCATGGACTGCGCCGAATTAGCAATAAATTTCCATAATCAATTGTAAATCCTTTGTTTATTGAATGAGCAAATTGGTACTAATTTCACCTCGCTTGTTAAAAACTTGGGTTTGTTTTGGAGCAATTCCTATTGTGTTAGACACGAGCGGGAAGTATTCATGTTATTGTCATGAATCACAAATTAAGTTAATTAAGTTAAATTAAGTAACATTCACTTTCAAAATTTAATTCCTTTTGGGCTCAACAACTGCCATTGCCAATGGTATATTTTCAAAATCATAGCCACATAAAGCTGGTGAAAATATAAAATAGGTATATATCTCATAACTGACGGATTATTGCTATCTTGGAGCTATCATATCGTCATCATATATATTAATAAAGATAAATTCATTCTCATAACTCTGGCTAGGAGTATCTCAGTCAGATAATCTGTAGAAGACGGAAAACTTGCAATACATTTCAGCTCAAACTCGGCTGGAATCATTGATTCTTGTAATCTAGATCTAACGTCGCCTTATGTAATTGCTACAATAAAAAATAAAAATAAAAACGATTGAAATAATTATATTTGCCAAAAATATATTCCACGAAGACTCCTCAATAACTAGTGAGGGACATTTTACTATTTGGATATATACTTCGAACAAAGCACTTATAATGCATGAAATATATTGCCTAATTAAATTCGATTCTTGAAACAAACTTTTAGTTACATTCTACTCTTCCATATATTGCCGTTGGCTATATGTGTCGTGTGAAAATAGTAAATATCTATATTGCCCTTCTAATAATCAGAGTTCATTTAACAATAAACATTAATACTACTTTCCTCTCGAAAATCGTGTGCACTAAGCTCCAACAAACCTCAGTATTTTCACTACATTTTATAAGACTGTAATTCTATTGAATACCAGGCAACATACTGTTTGTCTGTTCTATATCTGTCACAATGAATATAATCGCGGTGCTCAGGAAATGTGTTTTCGACATTGTTATTTAACGGAAATAAATTCGGCGGATCGATATAATAAATAGCGGTTTAAGACCGTAATATGTCTGGAATAATATTATGTGTACAAGGATTGATATTAGATTATGGGAATCAATTTTTATGTCTTATATCTTGACAAGTTGGTTGACCGAAATAAGAAAAGGGAAATGTTTTCTACTCGGCGTAGTTCATCTTACCCCAGCAGGTGTGGGAAATCACTTTCCTGAGGGGGTCCAGTTACAGATAATAGACTAAGGTAGTGGGCTATGAAGTGAAGTGAGCTTTATAACCGTATCTGCTGCCCTGATTTTAAGCTCTTGTGTCGAAAATTGTTGGCGAAAGTCTTATATACGTTTTTTTCAAAAAAAGGTCTCGTAATGTTATATTCTTCGAACACCGAAAACCCTTCATTACAAATTAAGCGGGCAGTTGAATATTGGGGGCTCCCGAAGTATGCGAACCAAGATGGCGGACATCGGAATGTAACATGTGTACTAGGTTAGGGTTAGGCCATAATTTTAGGTATAAATACTACGGGAGGCTCTTGGCTAGTCTTCGAACTGATAATAGGACTAAAATAAGGAAAATTGGAAAAAAATTATCGCCTAACCCTAACTTAGTACACATGTTACGTTCCGATGTCCGCCATCTTGGTTCGCATACTTCGGGAGCACCGAATATTGTCTTTAAAAAATACGTCTCTCCGTTCCTTGTTAAAAAACGTCATTCGGAATCTACATTGCGTTTTCCACTCATACTGATGGATTTGTTACAGCTGCTGGCAAATTATGGCAGCTGCAGAGAGAATGTTGGTAGAAAAATAAGTCCAAACCTAGACTAAGGTTTATATAATAAACAGCATAATGTAGCAATCGGATCATCTTGGATGAGTTTCAGGTATATGTGGCCGGTTTTCCACATTATTTACAGGTGCAGATAATACATTCTATATCGTAGCCGAACTCTCGTTAGTTTCAACGCAAATGTATATCCATAAAAACTATATTATATATATTGCAGTCGTAAATTCTACAGGCACAGGTGGGCCGGATGAAATACTTCGGCGAGCTGGATCCTGCCGCGATATGTATTTCGCCCACCCTGCCTTAGTGGTACTTGAATCAATCGGACTTCAATCAATTATTGGAAACGAAGAGTACATATGGATCGTTTTATTATTATTTTGTTCTTGCACCAAGGTGGCGCACAACATGAACGTAGTATTTGTGTTCCGGTTAGGGTTCAGGTTGTGCGACTAATAATCATGTTTGGTCGATACCTCGTTTCCATGGTAACCAGGTATTCTGTTATCAAGGGCAATTGTCAAAATGCGCTTCTGATCATATTCTTTACTTCTTAAATACACACCGGTTTACTTATCTTGAAAATATCTTTCCTAAAGTAATGTTTTTTTCACTTTAATAGCTATACGGATGATGCCTCGTTTCCATGGCAACGGGGTATTTTTTTGAATGGCACAATATCCAAAGTTGATCAGGTGATGCTACTGTACATGTGTACCAAGTTTCATGCTTGCATCCAAAAGTGCAGGATTTTACCTCTTATCCGCTGGACTAACGTATAAACCCAATGTGATGAAATCTTAAACAAACATTGAAATATAAATTTGGGTTGGATTGCGCGAGACTAACCTCCTATCTTTTCTCTATGCCTTTATGCCAGTGGATCCGTATGCGTATGCTGCAAGGATGCTGTAGCAGGAATAAACATGACCATACTATGCCATTCAAGAGTCTTGCTGCACACTAAATCAAATGTATTTCTGTAACGTTTCGTCCGACCAGAGTCAGACTTCCTCAGACAAGCAGTTTACAACAATCTGATTGTTGTAATTAACTCGAAAATCGTGTGCACTGAACTCCAACAAACCTCAGTATTTTCACTACATTTTATAAGACTGCAATTCCATTGGATACCAGGCAATATACTGTTCTATATCTGTCACAATGATTATAATCGCGGTGCTCAGGAAAAGTGTATCCGCGTAACGTACGAACGTGTCTAACAGACAGACAAATACCTATCAACATACCTACCGATCACGATCGATAAATAACGAGAAACATTGATTCATTGTAGTTAACGTGGGAATCAGATTGTTGTAAACTGTTTGTCTGGGGAAGTCGGACTCTGGTCGGACGAAACGTTACAGAAATACATTTGTGTTAGTGTGCAGCTGGACTCTTTAATTGGATTGAAATATAAAGTTCGATTTTTATTAATAGTTAGTCTTTGCACTTTTTCACCTTTTAAATGTTTTTCTTTCCTTTTTTTCCTCGTATACTTGTATGTATTTGTAATGAGGAAGGACATCGACAAGGTTGTCCCTGGAAACATCCATGAAATGGGAAGAGACAGAAAAATATGTCTTATGGACAAGCCTGCATACTGCAAACTTATTATTTACAGTGTTTATCCTTTCGCGGCCTTTATGCCTTTTTCTTTCGACTTAATTTATTTTCATTTGTGTTCACAATGTTTCCTGCATAACGAACATAAAAAATCTAATGTTTTCATTTTTTTTCAGTTACAATTCGAAAACAGCCGGACGGACATGCTTAACAGACGCTCTGGATTATTCTTTAAAAAGCGTGATCGTTCCTGGACGTGGGGCAAGGAATAAAGTTCCAGGAACGGAGAGGGTCGTCGTACTTATTACTGATGGGTAAGTTGCAAAACCTTAAACGCTTTTATTTCATATTAATATTATAGAATAAGATAGGCTTTACATATTTATCTAGGGACGATGAGACGGCTTAATCATATGGCGAACCACGGCCTTTCGTCCTGTTACCAGTAGGGCTGGGAATTTCAGGGAAAACACTTTAACCGTTAACCGGGTAAAATTAACCGGTTAACCGCAGCGTGACGTTCATATAATAAGTTATAATTTAGCTTGTTACGTCACAATGGTCACAAACAGAGATAAATTTGCGATGACGTAATCATTTTTGGAAGAATTGTACATTTTAAAGATGATTTGTACCTGTGATGCCAGTTAACGGTTAAAATAAATCGTAACCGTTAACCATCTAAAATCGGTTAACTGATTAACCGGTTAACCATTCCAAGCCCTAGTTACCAGTCAATGTCGGATGTGTAATTATTCAGCCAGTTATTTGTTTTCGGAAGTATGAACTTGATAGGGCGGGGATGGCGATCTTTTTCAAGGAATGGATCAAATGTTATATTTTCATCCCGTAACAGAATAGGGGTCTTAATTAATATGAAATTTGCTGTTACATCACGAAATAATACTTCTGCATTCCCTTCCGAAATTTCGTTCAAAATTCCCCAATTTCAACATAGTCTGGTTCAATCCTCAACTGACTAGACCCAGTAAGCCTGGCCAACAGTTGTACCTATCACAATTTCTCGTCTATACAATAATAACCAACGTTGGTTCTCCGAGGATTCAAACTGTGTGATTATCCTTTTTTTAATTTTGTGTATGATTATTTTTTTTGTACCCCGCGACTTCTACTCCCAGTAAAATTGTATGATTATCTACTTTTTTAACGTCGTGTATGTTTTATACTGGTTGAAAAGCGGAAGTACTCCCTCTCAAAATGTGAAAAAAAGATTTTTTTGTATCATACATTACAGTTGATAAACTCGAAACGCATTTTAGACATTCAAGAGGGGGTTACGGCCCTCCAAACCCCCCCCTGTTTTTGAATGATAGTTAGAATAGTACTCCTGTTACCTTTTTATTATTGTATATTACTGTTTTTACTGGTTGAAAAAAGAAACTTGATTTGATTTATATTCCAGGTGCGCAAATTGTAGAAACCAAAACTCGCTCCCGAATGCTTTGAATAAGATGAGAATTAAATTTGAGAAGGAAAAGATCCCGTTTATCACGTTTTTCATCGGAAGCAACACGAACTGTGTCAGAATCATGGCGGTGAGTTGATGAACGTTTTCAAACTTTGGTTTGGAGTAGCTGACATCTAGGGGCGCACCCTTTTGCGGGTCGGACTTGGACTTGCACACACACACACACATACACACACCTTCGAAATGTGAAAAAAAAGGTTTGGACCCGCTAGTTGTCACGATCAAATTCAGATTCAGATTTTATTTTCGTCATGCAAAACCAATATACGATATGAAAAAATAAAAAAAGGCATATAACAAATTACGAAGACGGATATCGGCTTGTTGCAATAGACGAGGGATCGCGAAAGACCCAAGGAGTCATCCAGTCAGCGACACCTTGTAGCTGCATTCGAATTATTAACTATTGAAATGGATTCGAAAGCTCGATTCAAAATGTCCAGCTCTAGATTCAGATATTTATTATTCGTTAGGCAAGAATCAATTTGAAGCAGAAGAAAAAAGCAGCAAACCAAAAAACTAGATAACGATCGAAGACCACCGACTTCGATCTAGCGGCGTGTATCCTTCGCTCTGACTCAATAGCGACACTGCGTGTCCCATCACCGAGATATGATGTGTGATATGAGATATGATGAATGCACGTGCAAAATTTGGAGCAGATTCAACCTTGCTTTCGTGATATATCGCGTAACATACGAAAGTGTCTAACAGACAAACAAACAAACGAGAATATCAGTCGGAGACTGAAGACCTATCGACCGAAAGTTCGGGGATCCCGGAACAGAGACCGCGGTTTCGATTCATCCGCTCTTACTCCATAGTGACACCGTGTGTCCTATAATTAATACCTCGCTAATTATACAACATAATTCATCCAAAATCTATAGGCTTCTGGTCCGAAATATGATGGATGCACATGCAAAATTTGAAGCAGATTCAACCTCGCTTTCGTGAGATATCGCGTGTATCTAACAGACAGACAAATACCTATCAACATACTTACCAATCAAGATCGATAAATAACGAGAAATGTCGATTTATTGCAATTAACGTGAGATTGCGAAAGACTCAGTGAGTCATCCAGTCAGCGATATCAAATGCTGTAATATAGCAACAAATAAAGAAATGAAGCAATCTGATAAAAAAAATCATCTCCAAATCACACAAGCATGGGGAAAAAACACAGCAATAAATTTGAATTAAATTAGTCAACTGGAACAAGTAACTTATTTGTAACTTCTTTCCAGGGACTCGCTGATGGCTCCCGTTGCTACCAAGTTTTCAGAGCGATGACCTGGCAAGAATTTGACGCTATGATTGAACACATTGAGAAAAGAGATTGCATGGACGGTTGGGAGATCGGGCCTAGCTGCCCAGCTTAGCTTTTAGATGCTTCTGTCGTTCCTTTTGCTTTTGAATTATGTCTTGCAACCTTGTAGCTTCATAATAAATAAGAGAGAAATACAGGGTGGTCGCTAAAAAAACAGAAAATTTGTTGAACGGCTATTTACAAAGAATAACTTTTACAAGTTAAAGGCATATGTTATATTACACTCATAGATTCTCAAAACGTCGTTCATGCACTTCAGAGCAGTGTCTTAACCTAAAAGTCCAAGTTCGTGTAGCGTTTTGAATGTTAATATCGTAAAGTTAATATGTTAATATCTGTTTTTGTAGCGAAACCTGTAATATACGACTTTTAGATTCTTTTTTGATGTTGCTACGTTTGTTTCTCAGCGACTCAAATTAACGATAACGATCAACATAAATTAGCCGTTCTTGTTTTATTTTTTGTTCCAAGGATTGTAATCTTTATCTTTGCAGTTGTATCTTGTTGCTTCTAAAGAATTAAACCATGATCTAATGAAATTTCATAAATATTTCATAAACAAGATTATTTCCTATTTTTGAGGTAATTTGCAGGGAATGTGATCTTTAAACAGATGGGACGAATAAGTAGAAAAGTTGAGTTTTTCAAATAGGATATAAAACAAGTATTCCATTCTGTGTCGCACTTTCACTTGATAATTAAATTTGCTTCGTTTTCCGAAATTTCGACGGCTGATGTGACAATTTCTTTTTACACTACTAAAGATACCACACATTGCCCACACTCAAATAAAAACAAAGAGTCGCAAGTCACTAGCACTGTCAGTGCCGGATTAACCATTAGCACGTGCTTTGGGCACCAAGGCAAAGGAGGCACCACAGAAATTTTCATATAATTTTTTTTTAATGATGCATCAGTGTTTATTGAAAAACAGACCTCGAAATTGGCCCTGTGGCAAGTTCTCGGGTAGCCTACCAGCTTGAACGTCTCTACTAATTTTTGTAAGTATGAGAGCTGTTGTAAATTAATCGTAACTTGCCCTCCATTAGTAATGAATATCGAAACTTGCTTATTCAACTTCAGATAACATAGAACAGGGTGGTCCAAACCCAGGCCCGCGGGCCACATGTGGCACGCCGCTTCATTATCTGTGGCCCGCACCGCATTCGAATAGTAATCAAAATATCGTATTTTAAAATGCTTCTCATCAAATAAATCAGGAGAATCGTTCGACATATTGTTGTTATATCACTACTGTGACTGAATTGACTAGCATGATACTATGATGGCTAGCGGAAGCAACTAGCGAAGTTCAATGATGTAATGGGCAGTTTAAATTGTTACTTGGATTTCTATCGTTTTGGTCGGGAATATATGCTAACAACATAGTCATGATACAAAACTAAAAATCGAATGCGGATTCCATTAGTCTAGCTTGGCAATGCCTGTTAACTATGTGTTTACTATACACAATAGAAGTTTTTTACTACACTGTTTACCTATTCTTGGTACTATTGTGGCCCGCGACAAATGCCGAAATAATTTTGTGGCCCGCGGAGCCCACAACCTTGGACCACCGTGACATAGAACATCAGTTTCATTATTACTTTTCATATATATAGAGCACCAAAGTCTTAAAGTGCTTATGGCCTCTAAAAGACATGATCCGGCCCTTGCGTCTATGTTGCAGCTATACTTGTTGGGGGGGGGGGGGGGGGAATATGACACATCTGTGTGTTAGACCAGTAAGGTCTTAAACATGTATTCCATCCCATAATGAAATCGGTGTTCCATATTATTTGTGTTTGCCAAGCTCTTTCGAGTACTTGATTCGAACCGCATCAGATTCTTTATTTTGAATCATTATCCCCACTTTTGAAGTTTTCTTTTATAAAATGACTTTTATAGTTATTGTTTTGAATATATATGAAAAGATCTATAACACAACAATAAGCAATTTTGATTGGCTAATAATCATTAGCCGGTCGAAGAAGTGCTTGTTTAAGGATGCCGAAATATAACTTTCGGACCCAAATAATTTTGAAGTTTTGTATGCGGATCTTCGGTAAAAATAGTTGAGTAGCCCTGATCTGTAGTATGATTCAATTTCAAGACCTGTGATGCCGACAAGCTATTGAATGATACAATGGCCACCACACAGAGAGACGTGTCAAACTTTCCTGCTGCCCGAGGTGAGTTTCTGATAACAACGACCCCTATTCCAAACTTCAAAAATAATTTGGGAATAAAAAAAATAAAAATGCTGTTAAACATGGGAATAAATAAATTAAAAGTTAAGTAAGAGTAAAATATTGTAATATTGTTATTTAAATCATTAAACTAAGTAACAAACTTACCCTATAACGTGATGCCCGGGGCGGCTGCCTCTTTGCCCCCATCCAGGCACGCCACTGCTACCACATTTACTCTCCCTCTTTTCACACAAAAAAGTCACACAAAAGTCCTGAAAAATCATCTTTTACAATAACAAACATGATGGAAAAACTATGAATAAAATCGCCAACGAAAACAATGCAATGAGGGCGTGTCCCTGTAAAAGTGGGCGTGGCAGGCTCACATCACTAAACGTCAATAAAGTACATCGTTATTTATGAAACTTTTTGCTCCAAACAAGACCTCGCACTAGCAGCCATTGACATATTATGGGATATATGATAAAGGACAGGGGATACGAGATCAGGTTAGGGAAAGGCCACAATACTAGGCAAAAAACGATTTTACTTTTTACTATAAAACTTCCTGTTCTTCCTGGTTTCATTGCTTGATAAGGTTATTTGACGACAAGGGTGTTTTCACTTTGTTGAGTATGAATTGTTCGAACATAATAGGATTTGGAAAACTATGAACCAAAATATCACTATAAACACTACTGGTATGATAAACAGGGGGCCATGACACCCATGAGTGCTAAAAGTTTGTTGTGTACAAGGAAAAATTAATTTTTTTGTGTGACCCAGCTAGATGTCTAGGCAGAAAACTGATTTTACTTTTCACTACAAGAAAACTCTGTGTTTTTCCTAGTTTCACTGTTTAGAAAGGTTATTTCACAGGGTGGCCCATCGACAAAAAATGTCACACACCGTTAATTCACTAAATTGCTTTCCCGCTAAATTTTTGTGGGCTAGTGAGACGTCTGAAGTTGGTTATGTGACCCACCGACAAAAAATGTTGCTACCCGTTCTAGAATGACCAAATTCTTACTAGTTCCCCAGTACGTTCATCTAGTTTGTTCGGTGTTAAAAACACTTCCCTATATAAGGCCGATTATGGCCAATGTTTGGATTGCAACATTACTGATATATTAAATGTTATTTGGCTCTCACTAACAAAAGACCATTTAAAATAAAGCTTAATGGCACTATTTGGGGGGTAAATTTCACTTTTGAAATTTAAAAGAATAACGGGTAAGAACACCTGTTCTCGTAGCTACAAAGGTAGCTATTTTTTGCTGTGTGTTGTTTGTTCTATTGATCAGTTTCTGAACATTGATGTCAATATGACCTTCAAGATTTCCATTGACCTTGAAATGACCTTTTGTCTCATCAGCCATCTAGTGGTCAAACATTTTGGCCAAATGTTTGTATTTATTGGAATGACCTTGGAAAATGTCCTTGACCTTGTAATGACCTTCATTTGCTTTTTCTTCTCGATCTGTATTCTCTTATTTTTCCAACAAAAACAGACTCAACAATTTCCGCACACTTTGCGAGAGCAGAGTCCGCTCCGTTGAACATTCGGCAGTTATCGAAAATTAACGATATGTCCCCCATCAGCTCCGAAAGCAGCGTGTACGACGGTAGCTTGTTCATGACGGTACCAAGATCTTAAAATAAGTTTTATTTAGAAATTACAGCCAATCAGGAAGAGATATCAAAATTTAAAATTGGAGCTGGAATATTAAAAAATCATATATATGAAATTACTGTACCAGCCAGGAATGTCCAAAACCAAATACGGGATTATAGCGAATACATAGTACATAACAAAGTATTATCCAATCAGGAATCAGTCCAAATAAAGATAGATATCAAGATTCCTTTATTGCTTAATGTTTAAAAATTCAGATATATGGAATTACTGTTAGGATGGCCAGAGCCAAAAATTTTGACTATTACAAATAGATTCTAAAATATTTTCTAATCAGGAATTCTAAATACATTCTAAAATCCAGCAACATAAATAATTACGCAGTTATTTAAGTTTCGATTCAATTTGGAATCTGGCACTCTGAATACAATTCGATATCAAACACACTATAAATAATTATGCGAACATGAGGTTATACATTTTTCAATCAAATCCGGACACCCCTTCGCCACAGTTTTCAATTTCAATATATATATACATTTTTTTTTTGAAGATTGCAGATGGAGTGAGTTGAATCAAAATTTTCTCACAACGAGATTTTTTTAAATAGCTTCAAGTTTGAGCTTGATAAAAAGGAGCTTCAGAAATATGTGTATCAAGATGGCACACAACCTGAACATAGTATGTATACCAGGTTAGGGTTCAGGTTGTGCGCCATCTTGGTGCACATACTTTGGGAACTCCGACAAAAATGAGGAAGGGAACTTACCCATTGGCTTCTTTATTACTTTGTAATAATTCGGGACTTCGTATTTACTGACTGGTTGAAGGAACGGCCAAGCCATCTTGTGGGCCTGAAAAAGTAAGTTTATAAAAGGGTATAACACAAGTGTTAGATTGGTTACAAGTCCCATAACAAAAGTGTTGTAAGTTCACCACTAAGGTAATCAATTGCAATCGGTTGAGTAAGGAGTTAAAAAATAAAAACATTACAAAATTTCCTCTGAAGAAGTCCCAAAACTCTGAATTGAAACTCAATTTGAGTCACGGTTCATCAGAGTGCAAAGTGGAGTCCATCATTAAGTTTCTAAGTGTTTTAGGTAATGATGAGTCCTAGCCATACCATTTAGATCAGGGGTCACCGAACGTTTTTGACCAAGGGCCAGGTATGACTCAAACTGTGTTGAAACAGGCCGGACAAATATTTTTGTCCATGCAATACATCAATTCAATTTAATCAACAATATAAATTCTGCATTTCTGAAGTCTTGAATATCAATGCCACGTCACGAGTGTACGAGTGCATCCTTCGCAGAAAACGTTGCTCACAGGTAGAGAATTTTAGCCTATTTCATCAAGGAAATCATTGCCCAGAGAAACATCCCTTGAAAAAAAAAATTCGCCATTTTTCCGTGTTATTGCGGGCCAGATGAAAGAACGCCAAGGGCCCGCTTTGGTGGCCCCTGCATTAGATCAAGGTTGTGATTAATACAGATACAAATGACTTGGTGAAACACTTAGTCGCGCCATTGTTTAGGCTTTCAAGTAGATGCAGGCACAAAAATTTTGGTTATTGATCTTGTAAAAACACCCCATAAAGGAGGACCAGATACAAATAACTCGGTGTAACCAAGGGCGGCCGTAAATTTACCAATCATTCTAGTAGTTACAGGCACAAAAATTTTGGTTATTGAAATTGTGAAAAAAAAACTGAAAAAATCTTTTATCTTCAGCTTAATTGATTCCAAATATTCAGCAGTTGGATATGGAAGATTTCTTTACTTTTTTCTTTTTCCTCAATTTTTTTATTATAACTCATCATAACACTTTCATATGACATCTGAACTTCGTGCCCATATGTTTAAGCATTGATCTCTTGTGTTAATTATCAAATACTGGAAGTGGCACACTTACCCTTAGTGATCTAATAATCTTTGTTAAAGCAATATGGTCCGAAGGCGTGAGTAAATTTTCTGCAACGGCTGAGCTGGCACCCTTCTTCTTGTTTTTACACCGAGGGCATGTGTAGAACTCTATCTTATCTGCGTCCTTTTCAGAGATTCCAACGCAATCACCATGATACCAATCTTGGCAGATGTCACAACCAATGTAAAACCTGAAAATATGCCACAACCAGTTAGATGCCATGACCATTCTGTGGCATCAAATTGATACCACGTTTATGTAAATCTTTCCATTGAATGCCATGTAAAGCATCAAAGCGGTACTGTGGCAGCAGAGCAGTGCCACACACATGAGAGTATTCATGTAACTCCTACAAGATAACTGACAAGGCATCAAAGTAGTGCCGTGGTAGTATGAGAACGCCAGTAACTAAGAACCATTTTTCAACTTCAATATTAGAAACGATGTCATGGCAGAAAAGAAATGCCACTCACATAGAATCATCATACCATTCTATGAACAGACTTTTCAACAAATTAACATCAAAGGCATCAAAGCAATGCCTTGGCAGCAAAGTAATGCCACTTACATAGAATCATCATACGGTGTCCTACATATACAATACAGCTCTTGTGCAGGTTCTTCCTTTGCTTTCTGACATTCCTCACATATCCACTCGTTCATTGACTTAGCTCGTGTCTCAGGGATGCCAACGCACGTACCATGGAACCAGTTAAGACACAGATCACAGCCGATGTAGAATCTGAAAAAAGTAAACGATAGCTTGAATGTGGCACAGTCTAGCGAGCCAAAAATGGAAAGAGTACTGATAGAAGAGTTGCAAGTCTGCTCAAAGCAAGGTGTCGTGCCCTCAACTAAAAGTGGAAAGTGCACTTCACAGACTTGGGTAGGAATAAAACAAACAATAACACACTTACTTTGTAGGATCATACTGCGTCTTACATATGCAGTATAGCTTTGTATCTTTCTTCTTAGATTGCGTGTTTATCATTTTCGTTTTTTTAGGTTCGGGAGGCGGGGACATAGTTTCGCGACGCTTCTTTATGATTGGTTGTTGATTTCCTTTGCCTTCTTTGATTGGTCGTTTTGAATTGTTCTCTGTCAGGACAGCACTTGTTACGATAGCGTTTCCTGATGTTTTCTTTGGTCGTTTAGAAACTGGTGCCCCTGTTGATTCGGTCACATTTCTGCGGTGTTTGCGTAAATCCTCACGTAGCTCGTTCTGATGAAATAGAAAAAAATAAATGGAAAATTTAGGTTTAGAGCTTAATTTTAGTTAAATATGTGCTTTACTTGCTAAAAATGACATAGGAATAGACATATGCAGGGGCGTAACCAGAAATTTTCAAAGGGGGGGGTGTTGACATTTTTTTTGCCAAGTTAGATCGAAACAGCTAGCGGAGTTCGATCGAACGCTGGAATACGTGTGTTTTCATTAGTCTTGTGTGTCTAAAAACCCTTTTAAGCTACAGAAAATTGCTATCTATGATACAGAAAAATGATTTTATATTTTTTACATTTCAAAAGGAGGGGGGGGGGGGGGGTTTCGACACGCAAAACCACCCTCCTGGCTACGCTACTGGACATATTGTCCCAATTGCCAGTTGAATGACCTTCTCTGCAGAGAGCTTTTTGGCTGCCATATAGACAGCAGGTTATGAATAGGAGTGGATATGTGGTCCAAATCGCTATTCGAATGCTTTCTCTGTAGAAAGGATATTGGTATGCGGATAAATTAGGTATTGATATATGGTCATTCGAAATTTTAATGGCTCTCATTTGTGGAGGTCTATTAGGTTAACATGTAGACAGCAGTTAGAAATAGAGGGCTTTATGCTTTATTTCCTGCACTCAAACCAGTACCGGCTGTTTTATAGCCCGATGTATAGATATCAAACCCAATTTAATCAATTTCATTTCAGATCGCCTCATACCCGGTGTGCGCCTTATGCTCCATTAAATTTGCTGTCTAGTATAGGTGGGCAACCTTTTCCGGCTCGCGTGCCAAAATCGACTGAATTTAATGAAAAAATTCTTCCGCGTGCCGACCAAAATTGTCGAGAGCTCACTCAGTTGTGATGTCATAATATATTTCTTTGAAGTCATATGTCATGAAAAAACAAAAAGAGTTTAAATAAATAACGGATTGCTAACAATAAATAATGATTAAACGTACGCAGAGTTTCAACAGATAATTCAGAGTCTTGAAACCTTTTTTTTCTTGAAAAAAAAAAAACGATTCCGTTTCTGAAGCCTCGCTCGCGTGACGAATAAATGGGCTCGTGTGCCAAGTTCGGCACGCATGCCAGGGGTTGCCCACCCCTGGTATAGAAATATGTAAATGCATGCTGTTAATTGAATATTTCAGTCTATGAGCATAAATGTATTGCCAAGCAAAGAGCACTGTTTTGTAAAAACTTTGTGGACCAACACACGTACCTTAGCAGCATGTGTTAAGTATTTCTCAACGACTGCTCTTCTTTTGAGAATATCTTGCTTGAGATGATCTCGATGTTTGTGAAGAATCTGGGTTTGACGGTTGTGAACTTTCATCTGCGGAATTAAAGAAAATTATTTTTAGAATTAATGGTTGATAATGTGTGTAATAGATGTTGTTCCAATTGAAGTAAGTAAGCGTCCAAAGCCCCAGTTTTCAACCAGTGGGTCATGGCCACAGCAACATTCTCAGGTGGCCACAAAACTATCAAAAACTTATAGCTTTATTGATAAATCAGTTTTACTGTGATTGTAGTGACAATGAATGATGGTGCTGTTATTACTTCTGAGGTGTAATTTTCATTTTAATTATTAAAGTAAAAGGTCTATTTTTCGCGGAGATAGTTTATTTCCTTTTTGGTAGTTCATCACTTGCGTAAAAAAGTTACGGGGCCAAGAAAGTAAAAAGGTTGATAACCACTGGCCTACAGCGTTTCCCAACCAAGTAGCGGAAATATCGTTGTTTTCAGGAGGGGAAATTTAGTTTCTATTATATTGTTTACGTATATTGTATTATAGTATAAAGTTTTCTGACTGTACTAAAAATACATAGTTATGGAGGAATAAAGAAATCCAAAATTGGCAGCGGAAGGACTATATCGAAAAAGGGTGGAAACTGGCCTCGTAGATTGAGCTTTAAGCTTCTCTATGTTGGCATTTCGCGTTCAAGTCGCTTCCCTCTTTCCACCAAATTACAATAAATAAGTCAATTTTGTGATTCCTACCTGCTCTGTTTGTTCTTTTCTTTCCTTCTGTTTCAGTAAAGCTTCCTCCCTTTTTCTTTTCCTGTTTTCCAGTTCTTCTTTTCTTTCTATTCTGTCCAGGATTGATTTCATCACTTGCATCACAACAGTTTGCCTGAAAAGATGAAAAAAAATTAATGGGGGAATGGGGGGTGGAATTAAAAAAAATGACACAAGAGTATACCCAGATAATACAGAGCAAAAAAAAATAAAATAAAATAGTGAGGGGGTGGGGTGGAATTGGAGAAAAAATTACACAAGTTGATACAAGTATCTTCACTATATGTGAACATACACTGTTTGTTAAAATACAATGACGCGCTTGAGATCCGGGGAGGGATAAAATTTTAAGGGGGAGTTGAAAAAATAAGATGAGAATATACTGAGACGCTACTAGAACATTCACTATATGTGGACGTCCGCTATCTGCCTTTAGGAACTGGGGAATTTGAGGGGTGAAAAAGTTGAAATTCATGCTTTATTAGGAAAAATCTGAGTGTTGACAAGGGCCACACTGAATGGCTCAGCGCTTGTTGTGCACCATCAACCATCACAACGTCCAGAATAAAATAAATTAAAAATTGAGTAGGGACCGAAATTAACTAATTCTGTGTCTTGTGAATCAGTGGTTTACAAGCTTTTGAAGTTGTGCTCCCTTTTAGAACTTGTCAGATAGTGAGGGAAAAACATAGAATATGTGGATGGAATCACAATCTCTAAACAATGAAACTAGAATAATGGATAGAAACCGAAGACTTATCGATCGAAGGTTAGGGGATCCCCCAAAACAGTGGTCTTACTCCATAGTGACACCGTGTGTCCCATCACTAATTAATTAATAACTCGCTAATTATGGGACATAATCCAACCAAAATCAATAGGCTTCTGATCCGAGCTATGCTGAATGCACATGCAAAATTTGGAGCAGATTCAACCTCGCTTCCGTGAGATATCGCGTGCATCTAACACACAGACAAACAGACATACAGACAGATACCTATCAACATACTTAAAAGTGAAAAGTAAATCTAACAAATATATATTTTTAATTAGCTTAAAAAAATTGTCCTTCTGTGGCGCTCTCTATCGTTTGAGAACCACTGTTGTGAATAGTAGCCCAAGCAAAACCACACTCACCTCATTCCTTCTTCTTTTCTGATTCTACTGAGAGGTTTCGGCCTCGGTCGCTCTACATTGTCATGACGATGTTGATGGTGGGAGGAGATTGTTGGAGTACGTTCCGCAGATTGAGGCCTGTTGTAAAAAAACAATTTTAGTTAGTACAGCTCTGTTGCCATTTATAAACTAAATTTAGCGTACCAGTGGTCACCCTGAACTCAAAAACCAACTCATTTTATAGATAACATTTAGCTAGAATGCCCGTTCTATGTTCCACATGTATTTTGATGACACGTGTCTGTTACGTCCAATATCATACTAAAATATTTCACAAAGTTTGTACATCATTCAGGACTCTGCTAACTTAGCCTTAAACTATTCATGTTCACTAAAACAAACATTTGCTCGGTGTAAAATTTTCTTAGAGGAAACACTACTAGGGATTTTCGATTTTCACAAGCTTATATTAAAAACCGTGTCTGGAAAATTTGCAGCAAGAGCATTTTGCAAGTATTTGTGACAAAAACAGTTGGATTTATAGGGTTAGGGTATGCTCTTAAATAACAAATATTTTTTAAATAAAGATGTACTTCAAAAACCTAACTGTTTAATCACAAATACTTGTTTTACAGTAAAATGCTCTTGTGACGATTTTTCCTAGAACTATTAAAAACATCATTTTTCCATACTTGCTTCCCCATAATGGGTCTTTGTCTGTCATCAATCGTTTCATTTCCGTATTTTTGTTCCTCCCTGGCATGAATTGATGTTTTTGGATTTGTTGAAGTCGTTGTGATAATGAGGCTGATTTGAGACTAACTTCATTGACAGGAGGCGACACTGGAGCTGAAATAGAAAAAATGTTGGTTATGATTATGAATCTAAACAGGATTTAAAAAAATAAATTTTTATTTATTTATCATTGGAAAAAAGAATTTTAATTAGGTAAGAATTAGCTATGTATACTTTGGCTATTTGTAGTTAGGCTTCCCGCTGCTTGTCAGCAGGGAACCTATTGTATTCCTGTGTTTTATTATTATTTATTTATTATTATTATTTATTTATTATTATTTATTTTTATTATTTTTTTTTCAAATTGGTCCTACAAACTTGAAATTCACCTCAAATGTGCAGAAGTTCTCAGCTAGCAATAAAATGCAAATCTTATGCATGACTGATCTCGCTTTCACGCTCCAGTGAGCAAAACGCGTCTTCAGTTTTTTTGCGATTTCTCAAAATTGATACATGCTACTGGGTTGAAATTCATAACAATAATTAATGGACATGTTCCGGATACGATATGTCAAGGATACGCATGAGTGACCTCGGCGATACGCTCCAGTGAGCAATATAGGATTTTACATTTTCATCTTCTTCTCGAGAACGACACTACTTAGAGACTTGAAATTTACATCACATGCAGATAATAAGTCCCCCATCATAAATTGCAAATTTTATGCATGACTGACCACGCTTTCACGCTCCAGTGAGCAAAACGCGTCTTCAGTTTTTTTTACGCGGGAAGCCTGTTAAAGCTGCACGCAGCTCTAGTTGTAGTTAATTTCTGGAGGCAACAACAATAATTTAATTTTTAGGACTAGTGAAAAAGATGTGGGAAAATTAATGGAATATGAAGGAATCTTATCTCCTAGTGGTAAATTATGGCAGATTGACCTGTTTTTCAATTACTAATGATTTATGTAATATTCAATACCCAATATGGAATTTCTCCTTTGTCTTGCCTAATTCATAGCCAATGTTAATTCAGAAATATATATAGTGACAGGAATATGGTCACATGACTAGATATTCCCATGACATCGAAGAGGTATCGAAACAATACTGAATGTGTCAGGCATTAATATAAATGAAATTTGATTTGATGTTTTAAAAGATTGCTAATTAGAAAAATGTGCACACTATAAAAATATTCACAAAATTCAATACATTTTTGGCGTATTCTAATCTTAGTCATGTTGACTTGAATTGATTAGAGGTGTCAATCGGAATATACTGCCATGCGACGGACATAAGTTCCCTTCACTTCTGAGCGATTCCAAACAGCTCTGGACACTTCAGTGGTTATTGCGACTTTGCTCAGAGATGAGTTTACTTTACTCCTGAGATTTTGGCATCCCTGTAGCCTGAATTCCAATAACTTTGCTCAGTGATGAGCACTTTACTTTTGAGCGTATACGCATGGCACTAATCCAAACCCATTTTTAAAAAAAAAAAATAGAAGTAACACTCACTAGGTGGTGGTATAGTCTCAGAAATCAGCGTAAACAAGAACTTCTTGACCTCCCCGCCAACTCTAGTCTGCATCAGCTGTTGTCCTGATGAAGGGGTGACTTGGGATCCTGGAGGGATGAGCTGGATTTGCCCAATACCTGAAATACAAACAAGAAATTTCTTTTAAACAACAATTTTTATCCTACTATTTCACTCTCGACAAGGCAATGTACAAAGGGTTTCTGAAGTCTTTGTACAGAGCTGCTGTGTTTGAAAGGACTGGACTTCTTTCTGTGCAGCAATTCATTAATTTTGTTTAAGTATCAGTGTTTGTCTGAATATCTATAATTTTTACTGTCTGGCCTAATGCCTTTTATAAGAATAAGAATCGGAATTCACGCATGGTTCTGGGTTTCAATGTTCTGTGGCTCTGGAGCAGAAGTCATTGCAATTTTAATAAACCAGCCCCCCTAGCCTACTGCTCTTACTGGTTTATCGATTCTCGCTTCACACTGAAATTCACATTTTTTATCTTTTCTCATTCTGTATGTGCAATGTGTACTCAGCATATGTAAATATAAACTACTGACTGGCTGTTCAGGGTATACAACTTGGGGTAAATGAGTTGAGTAAGAATTTGAAGTGAGATCCATACCGAGTTTCTCAACCAATCGGTCATGACCCAAAACTGTGTCGCCTACAAATTTTCTCAGGTTGCTTATTTTTCCAACAAAAACTTAAATTCTACTATTAATTTCGAGAAATTTTATTGTTTATTATATATTTGTATTGAAGTGTTGCTAATAGAATAGTAATTGTATAAATGGTAATTATTACAGCGTAAAAAGTATTTATTTTGTTTTGCTCAAGTAAAGCCACAATTTCAAAATCTCGCTGGGGGCTAACTAGCGTAGCTTTCCCACACTGATGTATTTTAGTCATTCAATTTTGCGGCCATGAAAGTACTGCATGCTATTTAGTATTCGAGCATATCTTTTGGTCGCCAGATTTTACAAAATTTATTTATTAGAAAACATGGGACAAATGGGACACAACATTTTTGAGACACCCCTCAATGAATACTCAAAAAGACAAAAAATGAAAACCTACCAGTTCTCCCATTTCCAAGGGTAACAGACACACGAACGGGGGTTGCAGCCCCAACTTTCATCAACTGAGAGAGCTGTGATGTGGTTAGTTTGATCTGTGTTTGTTGACTCGGGGCAGGGGGCCTCGGTGCGATCGTTGCAGGGCTGGGTAACATTGGGGACTGTTGGTTGAATTTGATCGCATGGGAGCCATCACTTAATCTGAAATTTAGAATTTTAAAATTGGGGAAAAAATTAAGTTTTCAAAAGAACATCCCTAAAGCTAGGAGGGTCATGCGGAGTTGCTAGGATGGAAAACTTTTGCTTAGTTTGCTTGCTTCTGTGGTTTTACCCACAATGCCGGGTGCTCCAGAATTGTGTGTACCAATATGGAGGTAATGACCTATTTTACATCAAGTTGTGTAAAGGGACTGAAACCTATGTGCAGGGGTATATTCACTTGTCTAACAGAGACAGTCCCCAAACTGGTAATAGAACTAAAATAAGGAAAATCGGAATAAAATTATGGCCTAACCCTAACCTAACCAGAAATGTCGGTTTTCGCTCAAGCCCTTCTCTCAATTCTAACAAGAATATACCAATATATTTTACCTTATTGAAGGATGTTGAGACCTTGGCTGAATAGGAGATACAATTGCGGGTGAACCTGAAAGAAAGAAAAGCGCTCACAAAATCATATTGTCGATAAATTTACAACGTGTCTATCTATATTGTTATAAAGATACTGTATAACAGAGGTGTCAAACTCGCGGCCCGTGGGTCGCATGCGGCCCCAGAGAACTTCCAATGCGGCCCTCAAACGCATAACAATAATTGTAATATTTTGTAAGTTCTTTTTTATCTAAATGTAATTCATTTTTCAAACCTTTCGAAGTGAAATTGATTATTCACACAGAAAACGACAATTTACTGAAAGTAGTTATGAAAAATTGAAATTTTTTTGTTTTCAATTTGACCCAATTATGGATACACCTCAAGCTAGCAAAAGAATACTTGAAGAAAAATGGGAGTTGAAAAAAAATTTCAGGGATTAAATGAAACGCAAAGTACATGAAGAAGGTGGAGGTGCAATATTTCTGCATTTCTCAAAATTCTAAAGCACTTTGTTTAATTTGTCACATTTCCACCAGTACAATGAAAGAATACAATATAAGTGTAGACATTATCAGAATAAGCTCAGCAGTCACTATGACAAATTTAAAGATCAACTTCGAACAGAAAATTTTTATGTGTTTGTATATTATCATAATTATACAACTACCTAGTTACTAAAAATCAATATTAATCATAACTCAAGCGGTCCTATGCCACGTAATGGTAGGAAAATTCGCAAGAAATGTCTGGTCCGAAAAGTCTCTCATTTTTTTTTTTTTTACTGATCTATTCACAGGGACCATATCGCGCTTGTTTCTAAGAAAAGTGGTTATTTTTTGAGTTGTGTGCATATTTTGTCTTAAAAACATGGATGACTCGTTTGTGTTTTGCATACAGATCTCCTGTGAAAGATAAGGTGTTTATCATTATACGCAACACGTATTTGCGCTTTGCTGCGTTATTATTGTGACGTATCAATCATCCACGTTCCATCGTGATCATGATTGAACTATGCCGCTGCCTCATGTCTCGGATATGCTGACTCTAAGCACGAACTATTTCTGTTAACGTTGGGGTTTGCGGTATTTTCAGGCAAACTGTTACATAGTTAAAGTAAATGCTGCTAGTTTCAGCGATTATGTTCTCAGGAACAAACCATAATTTAGACATTGAGTAAGCGTAAGCATGATTCTGTTTCGAATATGAAAACGAATTTGCTAATGTCAAACAAAGTCGAAAGGGTAAGAGCTATGCTCATTGCTGCATTTGTGACAGTGATATCGACCTAGAGGCCAAGGTTGGGGGGAGGGGGAGTTTTGGGGGCGAGAAAAGGCACAATGGGGGTCGCAGTACCCATTATTGTCAAAACTAGCAACACTCACTCTTTTCCCTTTTGCCTCTCCTTATCCGTGTAAAAAATATTTTTGATACTAATTTATGTTAAAACAAATTATCAATCAAATTTGGCTCTACGAACTTCTGGTGGGCTCTGATTTGGCTCTACAACTGCTTTGCATCAATCTTAAAGATATTTTTCCCAAACCTACCTCTAATGTCTATAAATAGAAGCCAAGGAGGTTAGCCAACAGCATGGATGTAGTCAGTGTTAAACTGACTATTATCATATAATACAACCTTATATTGCATGATCAGAATAGATATATATTAGCTTGCACAGCACCCATGCTGCAATCATCAGAAGCAAGGACAAGCAGATACAAAATCAAAGAAGCGTGAAACAATAACAATGAAAAGTTATCAGGCAGTGTTGCCAGAAATTGACAAAACGAAATAGTACAAATAATACATTATCAACAGTCAGAGAGGTCAAAACCATCCCTTTTGAAATGTATCATACATGGGTCTTCCGCAGATTAGAGCGCTTTTCAGACTCTCAAGACTTGTTGAAACACAACGATTTCTTATCTATGGCCGAACCCGCCAGCTGATGCGGTCCAAATTGGAAATCAGAAATTTTATAAACCCCCCCCCCATCCTTTTGAAAATCTTTGACTATGCCTCTGCCCAGTAGCACTGTTCTGCAGAACCCCAACTCAACTTACTTGCTTTAATCATGATAGGTTTGACCAATTTTCCTCCCTGCACAATGTAATGAGTTCCAGACGGAGTCGAACGAACAATAGTCTGCTGAGATGAAACGTTTGAGCCTGAGAAAAAGAAGCATGTCAAATATTATACAAAATATTTTTCAAAATTATCCTGTGGGAGAGGACAGGACAGCCTGATCATATGGTCAACCAAGAACTCTATAATAAATCCAAAAACACGGATTCGATTATTATAGAGAAGAGAGAAAAGTGATAAGATGGCTTAAACAAGCTTAACCACATGCTTACATACTATCCAGCGAGCTAACATGCACGAAGCAATAAGTCAAAGCCTTTTGTCTGAAATCCTGACATGCCACAAATTAATAAACCTATACTGAACCATTCTCATTTATACACCATATTCCTTCATGTATTAAAGCCTAATTCTCTGAGAAAAATATAACACACTTACCACCAATTTGCTTGTATGGTGTGAATTGGGCAGTTCCAGGATGCACGACAATCTTTGAGACTGAAATAAAAATATTTCCCATTAATCCTGCGATGTAACAACAAGAAAAGTTCTTAACCGAATATTCTAATCTTTTTACAATTTAATTTTAATCATACTGAAGTCAGAGGAATTTTATCAGGCACATATTTCTCGATCAAAAGCTAGCATAATTAGGTATTTTTTAAGCTAAGGTTGGTTGGTCTTAAAATCTTGAAATTTTTTAAAATTGCAGAGGGAATTTATCGATATTGTTTTCGCTCTCACAGATGTATTAAATGAAGTGAAAATACTTGAACAATTACTGATTAAAAAACAACAAACTTGGTTAAAATATGGAGAACTGACTTCATAACAAAATTTGAATTGTGAAAAGCGTTAATTTGAAATATCGCTAGCTTAGCAGACAGAAAAAATGCTCCAATTATTTTATGATAATTTTAGATAAGTAACAAAGCAATACGATAGTTTTTCAATCCTTCTTAATATTTGTATGTCTCAAATTGGTGCTCCCGAAGTATGCGAACCAAGATGGCGGACATCAGAACGTAACATGGGTAACAGGTTAGGGTTAGGCGATAATTTTTTTCCAATTTTCCTTATTTTAGTCCTATTATCAGTTCGAAGACTAGCCAAGAGCCTCCCGTAGTATTTATACTTAAAATTATGGCCTAACCCTAACCTAGTACACATATTACATTCCGATGTCCGCCATCTTGGTTCGCATACTTCGGGAGCCCCCACAAATTAGTTCATGAAATATCAAGAAACTTCACCTGGGGATTTCCCAATCAATGTCTTCCCACTGTTTAAAGATTTCTGTAATATTTGAGCGTTCTGAAAAAGAATCGGAAATAAGCATCAAGTAGGGCATTGTCCGAGTCCAAATAATAAAGGTTGTTAAACGACACTAATTTGGGTGAATTGATAAATGCAAGCACAAAAAATTTAAAATAGTCGAAATGTCAAAAATGAATCAAATATTCAAAAGCATTAGAATTTATTATATTCAATGTAAAAAAAATTCAATTTGAGAATAATTTAGAATATTTTTACTGGAAAGCTAGGGATTTTGAGCTGTCAGACACGTTTATAAAAACATACAATATCTAAATTGATAACAAACAACACAGAGAAACCAATAAACTTTATATTTATCTCGTTTTAAATGTGAGCAATGTGAAGATATAGTGGTTTATGTAATTTTACGCATGAATGTTTCACAAATACCTTCTCAGAATGTATTCGAAAGAGTAAAATAATCCAAAATTCACAAAACCTATTAAAATGCACAACTATTTCCAGATCTTGTTTTAAGTGAGAGTACAAAAGCCCATAATAATATAAATAAAAATACGAAAATTCCATTTAGTACCTGATGAAGAGGCAATTTCACGATATTGAACCCAGGTCCAGATGTAGACAGATCACTTCTTGAAGGTTTAAGGTTTTGTAACGTTGGTAGAATTCCACCGGAGGGCGTTGTGATAAAAGTATTCACTTCGGATTGAAGGAACGTCGCAGATGGTGTTGTAGTAGCTGAAGGCCGAGTACGATTTTGCTGTTGTTTCAACCTTGTAGGATAAAATAGATACATATTTATCCAGAGAAAGAGGGAAGCCGATAAAACGGCCTAATCCTATGGCAAACCACGGCCTCTCGTCCTGTTGTTAGTCCATGTCAATTATGAGGTAAGTTAGCCAGTTACTTGGTTTCAGAAGCATGGACTTGATGGTGGAGAAAGTCGCAACCAGCCAGTATGAAAATTGTAAATGACAGAAACATTTTTAAATTTCTAAAGAAATATACATGGTGAGGCAAAAAACTCATTTTAAAATCTTTAAAAACTTACTTACATGATATCACGCCACAAATAAGATACAACCACAAGTACTATCACTACCACAACCATGACTAAACTTCCAAACATGAAAGAAAAATTTCACAACGAAGGCATGACATTCACGCCACGCCATGAGATAAGAATAAGATGCCAAACCCACTACTTACAGGATATCAAACTGTCTTATCTGCCACAATTCTACTTCTTCCTCAGGCACCCACAACATTTGGACTTGGGGTCCGGTTTCTTTTTTATTTTCTCGTGCTGTGAACGAGCGCCTACTAGATCGAAGACCTTTACGAGATGGAGTGTAGCCTTCAGCAGCTGAGTATGGAAGAAAAATAATTGGTTTTAATGTTCATTCTAGCTCCAATAAAGTTCTACAGACGTTACAGAATCTGAAATCAGAAGTGATCTGTCTACAGCTGGTAATGGGTTTAATACCTAACATACACCAGGTATAGAATAGTATTATTGGATTTTTTTTATTAACAAGGGCTTCCATGTTTTCACTCTGGATAGTGAGTCACTGATAAACGATTTTGATACATGGACTTGGTTATGGTTAGGAATATTGAGTCAAAAAAATTTAGTATGATTTCAATCTACGTGACAAAAACCACTCCGGCTTCAGAATTCACATTAAAGGAACTTTTGGTTCCTACTCAGATTCCCAACGCCAATGAAAAAGACATGTTGACTATGAAAACGTGGTCATGTGTAAGCTTATTCTTCATGAAAGGATGATATACTCACGTTTAATAGCTTTAAGAGCCTCTTCTTCTGGGTCAGTTATCGGCATTGTTATGCGACGAACGTAATATTCCGAATGCAGTCCAGTCGATAAATTGTCTTTACGCTTGAGTAGTTCTGTTGTTATTATTTCATCATCAGTTGTTACAGAATTGACAACATCACTGTGAAACAATCCAGTGTTCACTTTGATAAAATATCAAAAGGACAAATGATATATCGTAGAAAATCAACTTCAGTTACAGAATGTTAGGGAAAATACTCAAAGCTATGTAGTCCAAGAAACACTACATTATCTGTCCAAATTAAAAACGACGAAATTTATGCTCTGCTGAACCATTCGCCATAAAACTTTACATATTTATACCGGGGGGGGACCGATAAGATAGCTTAATCATATGATGAACTGATGTCTTTCGTCCGCTAACCATTCCATGTCGGGTATGGGATTAGTTTGCCAGTTATTTGTTTCCAGATGCATGGACTTGAGTGTGGAGAAAAGTCGTAATAAGCCATTGGTAATGTGAACCACCCTACAACAACCCCGCATGGGATTCAAACCTGCAAAACCATGGCCTAATCATATGGCGAACCTCGGCCTCTTGTGCGGTTACCATTCCATTGTCAGGTATGAGATTAGTTAGCCAGTTATTTGTTTCAGATGCATGAACTTGATGGTGGAGAAAGGCGTAACCGACCAGAGGTTACATGAACCACCCTAAGTGTTCAGCAATCCTCTTGCACATAACTATCCCCGCACGGGATCGAACCTGCGAACCCACGGAGGTTGATAAGAGTATTCCTAACGCTTAGCGATGCGCCACACCGTTACTTGATAAAAATAATAAAGCACTATGTAAACTTACTCATTCTGAGGCCTCATAGTCATCCTATCCCACTTAATCGCGTGCCAGAATATTCTGATAAGATGAGCGACTGCACCAAATGTGTTGACGTTCTGAAGTTTGTATCTCCATGTTAGACTGAACGTCGGCCGAGGACAGGGGTAGAACCAATATTGCTCTGAAATATAAAATTTAAAAATTAAGTTGAAAATCAAAGTTTTTTTCAAAAAAAAATCAGGATGTAATGCTTTGTTCATAGAGGACATGTGAAAGCTCTGAAAATTGAGAAAAAAATCCAAGAAAAGGGAATTTACTAAATAACAAGAGAACTATGCTCAAATGTATGGCCATATAGTGCTCATATGCATTCGCAGAACTGCCACATGGTGGCAAATTTTGATGATGTCATAGAACACAAATAAACAAATCCCATACATCTCACCGAAATATTTGAAATAAATGAAAGTAATAGCCTTCTAGCGAAAAATTTAATCTTCAAGCACTGAAAATTTCAAAGCAATTGGTCCAGTTATCAAAGAGAAAAGCGATTTTTTTCTGTGACTAAGAACAACAAGAACAACAACAACATAATAACGAAACGATCCATACATATCAATCATAAATGTCGACTTACCAAGACCTGAAAACCATTTTGCACCGAACGTAAATCCACGTCTGTAAGCCCACTGACCTCCGCTGATTGCTAACTTTCGAGTAACAGATGCTGGTAGCCTGAAATGTAGAATCGTTTTCAAAATAAGATAGATTTACTATGTTTCTTTGATAGGTTAAAGGGGAGGGGATCTGGAATTTCTAATTGCCAAGTTAGACTGTCACAGCTAGCGGATTCAGCCTAAGGTAAAAAAATGTGTGTTTTCCAAGACCTCAAGACTTTTGAAACCCACATCTCCCGGCCGAATCAGCTATGAAATAACAAATACAAATTTTCAAATTATATTATTCCAAATTAAACCTAAAATTGTATAAATAACATGTATTTAAATATTCGGTTCATTTTGAAATTCCCTGGAGAGCCTGTGATGTATCGAATACTTGAATATACTTTGAGTTCTTAATTTTCGGAATAATTATTAGAAAAAAATCTGAACAAAATACCTGAAAATACTTTTCTTTCTCAATTTCCCAGATGTAAATTTCCATGGCAACGGGAGCTGAAAATAAGAAAAAATCAATAATAAAAAAAATAGAATTCGGTTGGAAACCGAAGACTTATCGATCGAAAGTTAGGGGATCCCCCAAAACAGCGCTTCACTCCATAGTGACACAGTGTGTCCCATCACTAATTAATTAATAACTCGCTAATTATACAACATAATTCATTTGAAATCAATAGGCTTCTGATCCGAGCTAAGATGAATGCACATGCAAAATTTGGAGCAGATTCAACCTCGCTTTTGTGAGATATCGCGTGCATCTAACACACAGACAGACAAATATCTATCAACATACTTACCGATTAAAATCGATAAGTAAAAACTTAACATCGCTATTACAAATATTTTCTCAACATCCCGATAAGAAAAATATTGAGCATTTGTTCGTTTAATGAAACAAACTAGATAACGATCGGAGACCGCCGACCTATCGATCTGTGGTTTCGAATTCTTCGCTCCGACTCAATGGCGACAACGCTAGTTTCATCACTAATTTATCAATAAATCGCTATTTATATGACATAATGTATCCAAAATCAATAGGCTTCTGGTCCGAAATATGATGAATGCACATGCAAAATTTGGAGCAGATTCAACCTCGCTTTCGTGAGATATCGAGTAACATACGAAAGTGAAACAAACAAACAAACAGACAAATACTTATCAACATACTTACTGATCGAGATCGATAAGTAATAAAGCTCCAGATAAGAGGCATTTTGTATGTAATGCAGGCTATTATTGGAAAAGCGAGTTCACAGTTCATTGGAAACAGCTAACAGCTTGGATTAGCATGTTGTTGAATAGAACAGGGGCGTGCAACATGCGACCCAAATACGGCCCAAAAGGAACAATTGTATTGCCCTCTTAATTTCAAATGGTGTGCCACCCCAAAACAAGTTTTAACTTGGTTTAATCTGAGTTTTCTGGTTCGGTTTGGTTTTTGGTTCATACTGAGTTTTTTTTCGTGCAACTACTAGCCTATGTTAAATGAAGGTGTGGTCCTAGGTTTCACTCACTTCTTTGTGTTTGGTCCAGAACTAAATATTTGTTCTGTGCAAAGGTATGAAAATATGAACATAAGTTATATTAAAAAATTAAAATAAGTTTATTAAAAGTTGTACCTTCATAGCACTTTCTTTTTTCAGTGTGGACGATGTTTTTCGGTATCGTTGCAATTTCCAAACAGTTTGTGTTGATGATAGGACGCCGTTATTATTTTGACGTCTCACTCGTCTTTGCCGTGACATTCGTGACATCAAAACTTTTGATTTATGGACGTTGGTGACCATTAAGGCTGCCTTGATTCCTGACTTTGTGGTAATTCGTGGCAGAGAGATAATGGGTTCTTTAACATTTGGTGAGGCACTTCGGGATGATTGTGGCGTGGATTCACTTTTTGTGGCATCTTGTACTGATTGTGGTGTGGAATCACTTGCAATACTTTCACTTTTCATGGTATCTTGTACCTGCTGTGATGGCAAGGTTTCATAGGCACTTATTTCACTTTTTGCGGCATCTTGTACTGATTTTGACATGACTCCAATGGCACCGCTTCCTGTGGCATCTTGTATGGATTGTGACATGACTTCAATGGCCCTGCTTTCACTTTTTGTGGCATCTTGTACAAATTGTGGCGTGACTTCAGTTTCACTATTTTTGGCAACTTCTATTGAATTGGTACCATCTTCAACAGAGGGATTGGCATCATTGTTAGTGACAACATTTGCTTTTTGTGGCATAACTCCAATGCCACTATCTTTATCATCCTTCAGTTCAGGTTTAGTGAGGAGAGCACCAGTTGAGCCGATTACAGATGTACTGCTAATTGGTTCCTGAGTGCTGGTACTTATAATGGTTTTACTGAGGGTGGTAGTTTTGGTTACGGTCGTGGTTATGGTCTCGATAACTGTTACTTTCTGGTCTTCGCTGACCATATTGGTCTGAGTGGTCTCAACGATACTATCGACAGATTCAGTGGTGTCTTCTGTAGTTATGGTGTCTGCGCTGATACCATTGGTCGTGGCATCAAATGAATTGGTAATGGCATCTGGTTTGGTAAGGGAGTCATCAGTAGAAGTTATAGTCTCAGTCTCCACATGGTTTTCAGTTTCGGTTGTGGCACAAATAGGATTGCCTTTGGCATGATTAGGATTGGCTGTGACATCAACAGGATCAGGTGTGGCATTAACAGAATTAGTTGTGGTATCTACAGAATCAGTTGTGGCATCAACAAAATCAGTTACAGCGGGAATGGAATTTGGAATGTTAGGGTCTAATTTGGTGTCACCGTCCCCAGTGTTGAGATCTGATTCAGATATTTGCGGTATTTCAAATTTGGTACTGGTTGTGGCACCGTTCACTGCCGTGGGAACAGAATTGGTTTTTACTGTACTTGTGGCATCTGCACTGACAGGAGGATCAATTTCCATAGGTTCATTGACTTGCTGTGGCATGGCTTCAATGTCACTTTGTAATTCCTCTTTAATACAAGGGATTTTATCTAGCAGTGGCATCGTACTGGTGCCTTCGAGAATCTTCCCAGAATTAACCCCTTGCATACCACCAACCACATCAATTTCTGAATCCTCTTTGTTCTCTTCAACGAGATGTTTGTTTTCATTAGTTGCCATAGTGACAGAATTGGTTGTTGTCTGCGATGTTTTATTAGTCTCCATAGCAACAGAGTCTTTAACAATGTCATTCGGTTTGTTGCTCACGGCAACTGAAGTTGCCATGGTGACATCAGTAGGTGCTTTTACATTTGTTGTTGTGGTTATTGATTTTGTTACTACGGCAACTGGTTTAGGTTCACTTGTGGTGCTGTCGCTATTGGTAACAGCCTTAACTTCAGCTTTTTCAGCTTCTTTCTCCTTTTGCACCATTCTGAAAGTAAAGAAAACTTTCTTAATACAAAGCATTGAACTATTATTGTGGAAAACTTCAGGATTGCGCAATAAAAAAGTCAGTGGACCTGATATTTATTAGTTTCAAGAAGATTGGATTTATTCCCTCAGATCAAGGGTGTGAACAAGCATCTCGATTTGTAGTAGGAAAATAGTTATCGCTAGAAACAGTAAACAGCTACATTGATAAAAGCCTTTATGTTCCATATTTTAATAAAATATGTGTCTACCAGGAAATACGTTAAAATATAAAAATAAGGCTTCCAGGGGCACTTTTTGTTTATAAAATTTGAAAGCGATTTGTTCTTTAGTCAAAAAAGAAAAGCAAATCATTTCTCAACATCGACAATATGTATGTCCCCCACCTAATCCATATGTAATGAAATTGTAAATTTGGTCACATTTTTGAAAATAGTGACTACTTTGGAATCTACCAATCAAAATAACACTTTAAATACTACTGGAATGTTAAACAGGGGGCCACAAGCCATAAAAGTTTGAAAAACCACTGCTCTTACAAAAAAACAAATAATAACCCACCTCCATCCTAATAATATATCCACTTTGGAAGCCGACCATTTCTTGTTGTATATGGGAGTACGTTTCAAAAGGTTCTCAGATACATTTATGACATCACATGAGTTAATTATAGAGTCATAAAGCTCAGAAGGACTTTTAGATTGTGATGTCACAGTGGGTATAGCTGTGGTTGTCACTGTATCTGACTCAGATTGTGATGTCACAGTAGTCTCACTTGATGTCACAATGGGTTTTGATTGAGAAGAAGCCTCTTGCACCAATGAATCGAAAATTGTTTTTTCTTCGGTTAAATCTGCGGACTTTGTTGTCGTAGTGCTGGTAGTCGATGTTGATTTTTCTGAGTCTGTGTCAATATCGGGGAGGACTGGAACAGTTTCTTTTTTCTCTGGAGTGTCGACTTCCATCTTAACTGGTTTTTCATTTGTAGTGGGAGTAGCATCTGTGATTAACATGAAATGAATAAAACAACTTATAGAAAAACTTATAAATATTGATTCCACAGCATGAAAAATGCTACTTTTCATTATAGACTTATTTTTGTCAAGTGCAAAGGAACAGGACCCCAACCCCAACAACACTGTTTTTTAACCTTTTAGGTAGAGCGGAATCCTAATAAAACATTTTGGGGGAACCCCCATGCAATAGTTTAATTGTCTCATGTTGTCTGAATTGTATGAACTATGAATGAATATAAATTAAAGCAAACCTAATACTAGCAAAACAAAATAATTGGTAAAGTTTAGCAAGTTTGATAATAGTGGCAAACCTAATTAAGGTATTTGTTATATTCAAACAATGGACCTTTCCCCGAGCCTCGACTTCCTTGTTTACTTTGTGGCATTGGCCAATCAGCAAGATGTAAAAAGTGACGTAACAATGCCCTCTTTTGGCATCCGCTCAGACACTTTTGTCACTCAGACAGATTTTCAAGCGTGGTTGTAAACATTACCTCGTTTTCGAGTTTTTGAACTCTATTCGTTAGTTTTCAGTTGTGTTTCAGAAACTTAAATAAAATTCAGATATTTCAATGATCACTCTGTCTTCCTAGGAGTTTTAATTTAATTGCAGTAATAAAAATTAGTGTAGAAATAGCTGCGTTACCCTAGCCTGAAACTATTTACCGGTACTTTTAAAAAACAGATTGTTGTGTGCGATGAATCATAATGATGGTTTGAAACACATACCCCATTTTACAGGCGCCAACTCGCAAAAGCACTCCTAAAATAGCCCTGAAAATTTTGCAATGGTAAAGTATAGGAAGAATTTTCCTGGGGTCAAAGGTCGGGGAAAGGTCCATATATACATTTTAATATAGATTTTCGGATTTGATTGAAAACTTGCAGAACCGCTGGACTGTACTGGTAGAGCCCTAGGATGCTGCAGGGCCCTGGTTAAAAACCACTATAAAAAAAACACTATGAATCGAAATACTTTGGTGAAATTTTAGAATAATCAATATACAGGGCGGTGTTGCCAGAAATAAAACAAAATAAAATAGCACAATATCAACAAATGATAATTTCTTACACATAGTTAAATATTTTGTTAGAATTTTATGAATTCTAAAGCTTTATTAACAAATAAAATACAATATGTCTATCAAAAATATCATATATAAATATCTATAACTCACCCTTGCTCATTTCATGAACCAGTGTGAATGGTTTTGGAGTGTACGGACGGGTTTTAGACAGTCTCGTTGTTGAAACCCAAATCCAACCTCCATAACCAGTCATCCGGTATTCTTCACCACGAACTTTCCACACCTAAGAAGGATGAACGTTTAAATTGTAACACCTTATGTAAAAAAGAAATACGATAACATCCTTTTATGTCAGCGGTTTCCAACCGGGCGCCACAATGCTAGAAGCGAAACAAATTTTAACTTTTCACTTACTTTACAGTAATGAAGGCACTGGGCAAAAAGGCGAAAGATATAATGTAGCGGCAAAAGCAAAAAATATGTATTCTACCCATGTGAAAGTAAACTGTGGGATTAGGATTTTTTAATTGATGGGGGGAATCTCAGTGTTGACAAGGGCCACACTGAATGGCTTGGCGTGCTTGATTGTGGCTCGCTGGCTGCCTGTTGCACACTCGTCTCGAAATATAAAATTATTTGAATAAGAACAACTCTAATCACACCTTACCGCCCAGTAACCCTTCTATAACATAGTATTAACCCGTCCCCACTTACCAATGAACTCTTGATAGGGAATGTATATTTGCACCAAACAGCATTTCTATTCGATTCTTCTTCGTCCGCTCGTAACTTGTGTTTTCTCTTCTTATCCCATTCTTCTTTATCGGTAACAGACACTCGTTTCATTTTCGGTAATCCGTTCGAAACTCTCCAAACCGATCGTTTCACGACGTTTCTTGTCGCCATCTCAAGAATTCCGAGAGCGGCAGCAAAGTTCTACAATATAACATACACAGATGATAAGGACAAAGGATTGAGTTTAGATAAGGCAGTGCTCCCCATTTAGAGGTCAAACCCCAGGGGCTGGGTCCATGAGCTATCCGAACGTAATAGGAAAACAATTTACATAAACATGATTTCTCGTCTTTGTGGCATATCTCGCACGATAGGAACAAAGCAGCCACACAAAAGATTGGATACTCTGGCAAGCCTGATAAATGCAGGACTGCATGGTTTTGGAAGAACAAGAATTTATTGCCATGGCCAGCCTTAGGACCCCATTACACTTACATAATAAATTACTATCAAATTTAACCATTATCAACTGTAATCCTGCAAAGTCAGAAGGCTTATTCTGCACACACAAGGCACATGTGACCCATGCATGTCGACAACCAACCATAGGTAATACAAAACTTCCCTCACATGGGGATGGTCACAGCCTATTCAGTATACATTTTCACAGTACATTATTGAATATAAATTTTAAATTATATCTGCATAAAAAATTAACCTTTTCCCCATTTGTAGAGGGCCACAGCACATAATAATGTGCTCAGGATAAGCCCATTCAAAATGCATTTGCACACAAATACAAAAAGCAAACGTTTTGACCCGTAACTGCACAAAAAATTCACTCTCTACAAAAAGAAGCAATGAATATTAACTCTCTCCTTACCTGTGGAGTGTCACATCCAAGCACAATCTTTCCCCAAGCTTTTCTATACCTTTCCCATTTTGTATGCATAAAGCATAAAGGTATTTGGTGTTCCAGATGCATCAAAGTGCTACGAAGTGTCTCCAGCATGGATTTCTGCCAAAATAAAAAGTATATCCTTAGATGTTTATAGCAGTGGTTTCCGGAGTTGATTGACTGGGGAGAAAAATTAAAAGCGGAAGGATATTCTCTGGTCGGAAGGAGGAAGCGCCTGCAAGGGGCCAATACTGATCCCGGTATGTATATTCAAGATATCCAATATAATTGAATTTCTACGAATATACACATACTTAAACTATGATAATTACATAACAATTGGCAGCATGTACACCACAGAGAAAAAAAACATACAGAGTTGAACCATTTAACTTAATTGTAATTGGCCTGTGGGTTTGAGGTCCGCTGGTTTATAGTTATGGTGTAGAAATTTGTCACATTTCATTAACTTTCAAGTTCCATATTAAGGATCTGGAAACTGCAACTTGGCTGCAAGAAGCTTAGTGAGAAAATAAGAACTAGAATATCGGTTAGAAACCGAAGACTTATCGATCGAAGGTTAGGGGATCCTCCAAAACAGTGGTCTTACTCCATAGTGACACCGTGTGTCCCATCACTAATCAATTAATAACTCGCTAATTATGAGACATAATCCATCCAAAATCAATAGGCTTCTGATCCGAGCTATGATGAATGCACATGCAAAATTTGGAGCAGATTCAACCTTGCTTTCGTGAGATATCGCGTGCATCTAACACACAGACAAACAGACAGTCAAATACCTATCAACATACTTACCGATCTTAAGATCGATAAGTAGCAAGCGTACCTCATTCCCCATAGTGTCTCCGATCCATTTGAATTGTCCCTCCCCGAACAATGAGAATTTATACGACAAATATCTCTCTCTATCCCTCTCTTCTTTGTGTTGAAGTTTATTCAGAGCAAGATTGTTTTCTGTATAATGGTTCACATACTGACGATACGCTTTGTCTTCTCCTAGTCTGGATTTGAAAATAAAATTATTATGCCGGTTCGGTTGAGTTTGAGTTCAAGCATTGACACTCTACCAGGTTTCACTGATTTACTAAATCTTTTTTAATAGTTCTAAGTGATTCAAGAGTCTTGCTACACACGAACATAAATATATTTCTGTAACATTTTTTCAGGTGGACCATGAACATATTGAAAATTGCTGAAGTTGTTGATGAAATGTTATAGTTTGTTTGAAGTAGCGATGCATGACGGTAATTTTCATTTTGAAAAAAAAAATGGTGTGTAGTTTCGCAGAAATTTTTTTTCGTTTTTCTTGTAGTTTTGTCCTTACATGAGAAAGTTGATGGGCCACTAATTTTTGTGCAACTCAAGTGGGCAAGAAAAGAAAAAAGGTTGAGAATCACTAATCTAGTGCAATGGAATGGCAAACTATTTTCATATCAGCCCTGGGCTGGTAACTGAATGAAGGGCAGGTCAGCTTACTAGATGAATATGAAAACTCTATCTATCCAGGATAACCCTATAGCAGTGGTTTCCAAAAGGTGGGGCGCGCTCCACAAAGGGTACGTAGACAATTTTTTGAGGGGACGTGGGGATAATTAAAAATATAAATATTTGTTATATTTGATCTTGCCCGCTCTATTTTGGATATTTACATTTCTTTATTTTGGATATTTAAGTTCCATCCACATATTTTCAACATGCTTTTCGAATAAAACACACTTTCGCCTTACTATCTGTTATTTGTAGCTTATTGTTATCTAGGTAATTTTAAGGTGGGGCGCGAGACTTGACAAATTGGCGCAACTTAAAAAAAAATTGTGAACCACTGGTTTATAGCCTCGATATCGACCAGTGACAATTCATTTCAGTTCAAAACCGTTGGAAACTCTGCACCAAAAACAAACCTAAAATATGATTCCGCCTCCTCATCGTGCGTCAATATCTTCTTTGGTTTTGGTTCTTCTTTAATGGTGACTGGAGTCTGTGATGGTGTTGTAGGAGTCTAAAAAAGTTATATATATTTATCCATATACTGCCAGCATAATTAGAATCCAGTGCTTCAAATAATAGGGCAGGAATGGGCAAGCTTTTTCGACTGGGTGCCAAAAATTTTACCCATCCATACTGGCGGGCCATGTGAGTGTGTTGAAAAGCACTCTATTTTATGAACAGTGTTAAATTTAATCACAATCTCAACAAATTCCTTGAGATATTTTTTAGCTTAAACAGCAAAATTTGGTTTTAGTTTGGTTGTGATAATTGACAAAACAGATTAAAAAATTAAATACCAACAATCATGGTAGTGCATGTAAAATTGGTTAAAAGCAAAAATTTATAGCAGCATCAGGCGGGCCAGATTGAATCGCCCAACGGGCCAAATTTGGCCCGCAAGCGGTAGTTTGCTCATGTCAGTCCTGGGCGCCACACTCAATTATATTTTGAGATCAAGTTCCAGTAACCCCCCCACTTGAGTAGAGACTTACTATGAGACAGCAAAGATGAAAAAAAAAATTTTCCCCCAAGACCAAAACGAGAATATCGGTTGGAAACTGAAGACTTATCGATCGATAGTTAGGGGATCCCCCAAAACAGAAACTGCAGTTTCGATTCATCCGCTCTTGTAACTTGCGCACTGCGCATCGCACACACACACTCGGCGGGTTTCAAAATTCTCTCGCTTTACAAAAATCTAGATCACTATATCAATAATTGATTGATAACTCGCTAATTATACGACATAATTCGCCCAAAATCAATAGGCTTCTGGTCCGAGATAAGATGAATGCACATGCAAAATCTGGAGCAGATTCAATCTCGCTTTCGTGAGATATCGCGTGCATCTAACAGACACTCAGACAGACAGACATACATACATACAGACAAATACCTATCAATATACTTACCGATCTTAAGATCGATAAGTAACTACTTAGCTTACCGCGGGCATGGGCTTCCCCCGTCTCAGCTGATGAGGTGTGCTGATTATATGATGCGTGGTTGGTGTCTGAATATAATAAATTCAACAAAATATGAGCAGTGCAGTTCAAAAAGAGGGCCCGACCCCCGTTGGGTCGCGAAAGGACTAAATGGGGATCATGGTAAATTCTTTTTTAACAATAAATTATGTTAAAACAAAATTTGAAAGGATTTGAAATCAGTACTGAAACTCACCAGACACGAAATAGAGTTAAGACTTGATCTTTTGTGATAGAATATGCAAGCACATCTTATAAAAGGTATTGTCAATTTGAAAAATAAAAAATAAAACTCCCGAAAAAAATTAACTCCAGTACAAATGCAACCAGTACCAGTATTCAATGTATTTGGCCAAACTGTTGTGAACCCCTACAAAGAAATTCCCCCCCCCACTTAAAAAAATAATTTCAGTACAAATGCAACCAGTACTAGCCGTATTCAATGTCTTTGGCCGAGCTGCTGTGAACACCAACAAAGGAATTCCCCTCCCCCACTTAAAAAAATAATTTCAGTACAAATGCAACCAATACCAGCCATATTCAATGTCTTTGGCCGAGCTGCTGTGAACACTAACAAAGAAAATCCCCCCCCCCACTTAAAAAAGTAATTTCAGTACAAATGCAACCAGCACTAGCCGTATTCAATGTCTTTAGCCGAGCTGCTGTGAACCCGAACAAAGGAATTCCCCTCCCCACTTAAAAAAATAATTTCAGTACAAATGCAACCAGCACCAACCGTATTCAATGTCTTTGGCCAAGCTGCTGTGAACCCCAACAAAGGAATTCCCCTCCCCCCACTCAAAAAAGTAACTCAAGTACAAATGCAACCAGCACTAGCCGTATTCAATGTCTTTGGCCGAGCTGCTGTGAACCCCAACAAAGGAATTCCCCTCCCCCCACTCAAAAAAGTAACCCAAGTACAAATGCAACCAGCACTAGCCGTATTCAATGTCTTTGGCCAAGCTGCTGTGAACCCCAACAAAGGAATTCCCCTCCCCCCCACTCAAAAAAGTAACCCAAGTACAAATGCAACCAGCACTAGCCGTATTCAATGTCTTTAGCCGAGCTGCTGTGAACCCCAACAAAGGAATTCCCCTCCCCCCACTCAAAAAAGTAACCCAAGTACAAATGCAACCAGCACTAGCCGTATTCAATGTCTTTGGCCGAGCTGCTGTGAACCCCAACAAAGAAACCCCCCCCCCCCCCCCACTTAAAAAAAATAATTTCAGTACAAATGCAACCAGTACTAGCCATATTCAATGTCTTTGGCCGAGCTGCTGTGAACCCCAACAAAGGAATTCCCCTCCCCCCACTCAAAAAAGTAACCCAAGTACAAATGCAACCAGCACTAGCCGTATTCAATGTCTTTGGCCAAGCTGCTGTGAACCCCAACAAAGGAATTCCCCTCCCCCCACTCAGAAAAGTAACCCAAGTACAAATGCAACCAGCACTAGCCGTATTCAATGTCTTTGGCCGAGCTGCTGTGAACCCCAACAAAGAAATCCCCCCCCCCCCCCCCCCCCCACTTAAAAAAATAATTTCAGTACAAATGCAACCAGTACTAGCCATATTCAATGTCTTTGGCCGAGCTGCTGTGAACCCCAACAAAGAAATCCCCCCCCCCCCCACTTGAAAAAATAATTTCAGTACAAATGCAACCAGCACTAACCGTATTCAATGTCTTAGGTCCTGCTCCTGTGAACTCAAGTTTCTTCAATTCTCTGTTAACTTTAGGCAAAGCCACCTTCGCTGAGTTCAAAACCAGGATCTGTCGATTGAGTTGGGTTGGAGCATTACCTGTAGAAAAGAATGTTTGAGATATAAATCAGGGGTTTCCATTATTTGTCGGCCCCCTGGGGGGGTAGCAGTGCGATTCTCAAAGAGCCACTAGTAAAGGCCTATACTGGTTACCATCCGCGATGACACCATCGTGACATAACTTTGAAGTAAACTGTGATTTGTTCAATTCCTTTACTGTAATGCATTTATTTACTTAGGTTTATTACTCGTTTGTTAACATGGAGTGTAAAATAACCAATGGAAACAGGTCAAACTAGACATTTTAATTGAAGACCAGAGATTATAAGGAATAGAAGTCTCTGGAAGAGAGCACCAGATCATGTACGTTGGAGAAATACTGGTGCAAATGAGGTTAAATCATGTTTTTATGGGCCCTAGAAATTAAAACAGTGGACTCAACTATGTTGGCATTGCAGGTGGAAAATCTTGGCTTTATTTCCCATGTCTAACTCAGTACCCAGTGTGTAATAAATTGAGTAGCTGAAGACAAACCAAAAAGATCCAGCCATTTCGAAAATAAAATAAAATAATATTGACCCAAGTCCATCCCCAAGGGATAAAAAATCCAACACCGACTATAGCATTATATGAAAGACCAAAGTTCCAATATGGCAAACTTGACTTTAATTACCTGTAGCATTAGCAGGCATGAGTTTCCCTGCGGGTCCCAGAGTTATTTGAGTTTTTGATCCGTCTTTGTTCAACACAAATAATGTCTTCAACTGAGAGATGTTGGATTGGACTGGCTTTTGGTTCAATTTAATAACCTGTTAATAAGAAGTGGGTTAACCCAGTATTGAGGTGTTAGTGTATAACAGTAGTTTGCAACCGGAGTTTCGTGAAACCCTAGGGTTCTGCCCCAGCAGTCCAGGGATTCTACATGTTGATATTCAAATTCGTGAATATAATATATATATATATATTAAATGCAAACCATACTGGCAAAACAAAATGATCTTCAAAGGGTAGCAAGTCCAATAATATTAGCTAACCTAATATCTATTTGATTATATTTAATCGGCGCTCCCAAAGTATGTGCACCAAGATGGCGCACAACCTGAACCCTAACCTGGTACAACTACAATGTTCAGGTTGTGCGCCATCTTGGTGCACATACTTCTGGAGGTCCATTTAATAAATATGCATATGATAATATAGCCTTTCATAAGGGAGTGGAAACTTGCGGAACACCCGTACTGCACTCCCGAAACCACGGGGTGTTGAGAACCAAAGCCTAAAAACCACTGCCTTGAGAGACAAGTCAAGTTATGATCACCAGAGTCGTGAGCAAAGTTCCAGTCATAGCAAATATTAAGTTAAGTCCCAAGGTTAGTGGCAGTGTTAGGAATAGGCTTATCACACTGGTTCTCAACCTGGCCCACTGCTGGGCCACAGCAACGCTCTGAAGTGGGCCACAAACCCGTTGAAAATTGCAAGAGGTATTAATAAATTTATTTTTATTTTGTGTCACTAGAGGTAAATTCTGAATGTAGTTGGCAATGAATGGTAATACTGTTTTTGCTACTGAGGGGTTTTTCATATTAATTACTTATCGATCTTAAGATCGGTAAGTATATTGATAGGTATTTGTCTGTATGTATGTATGTCTGTCTGTCTGTCTGTGTGTCTGTTAGATGAACGCGATATCTCGCGAACGCGTGGTTGAATCTGCTCCAAATTTTGCATGTGCATGCATCTTACCTCGGACCAGAAGCCTATAGATTTTGGGTTAATTACGTCGTATAATTAGCGAGGTATTAACTAATTACCGATCTAAGATCGATAAGTCTTCGGTCTCCGACCGATATTCTCGTTATTAAAGTGAAAGTGTCTATTTTTGCGGGAATGCTTTCCCTCTCATGAAAAAGGTAATGGGCCACATATTTTTTGTGCAACGAGAATGGGCCACAAAAAAACAGGTTGAGAACGACTGTAATAGCAGAATACACCATACCGCCGAGCAAATACATTACAACTTTACAAACCTGTATGTTCTTTCCTTGACCTCCCTGGATCAGCTTCGGAGTTAGGACAGGATTTATGGCTCCTCTTGGGGTCAAAGTAATTGCTGGTCTTGTAGGGGTACTACTCAGTACCACAGGGGTCAAAGGTTGTGACCTTGATACTGATGGGGTCAATGATTGCGATCCTGAGACTGATTGCGTCAAAGATTTCAAAGCAGATAAAGTAGAAGTAACAGGTTGAGAAGTCATTATCTTTGGGGTCAAAGGTTGTGACCCTGCAAGTTCGGGGGCCAAAGGTGATGATTCTGAAGCTTTAGGGGTTAAAGGCTGTGACCCCACAGTAATTGGGTTTGTTGGTTGAGGCTCTGTGATGCTTTCTATTGCTGTTTGCAATTCTGGTTTAACAGGGGTCAAAGGTTGTGACCCTGTTGCATTTGGGGTTGAAAGCTGTGACCCTGTTGCATTTGGGGTTAAAGGTTGTGACCCTTCGCCGGTAGAACTTGCAGGAACTGGGATGGTTTCTTTGTCTAATGGTTTCGGAATTTCTTCCTTAATCTCTGGAATGGTTTGAATGGTGCTGGTTGGTACATCAGATTGGTCTGTGTTGGTTTTTGTAACAGTAATATCTGGTTTCTGGTCTTCAGGAGTGGTTGTAGAGGTTTCTGAATAAAGATTGCAATAATTTTAATAGGTGATGCCGCTATTCCATCTAAAATAAGCACCTTTAAAACATGTTTAAAAAACTCTCAAAGATCTACAACAGGGCTATTCCAAGTTGGCCCTCTTTTCCTCCTCGAGGGCCAAAGAGTGGCTCTCTGGGGCCATAAGCAAAGTACTTCTACCACCAGAGACCTTCAGCGATGACTAGATTGATCTAAAGGAAATTAAACGTGATTTTCTTATTCTTTGATATATTTATCATTTTACTTTCGTTTATTAGCTTTTACTTTGCCCTAGGGTGCCATGGAAGGGTTCTCTGGGAGGCACAAGCATAGTTCTTTACCAGGTACCATTAGCGATGACTAGATTGATTTAAAGTTGAACAAGCCGGTAGGTGACCAGGATGCCATGGAAACGAAACGCCAATCTGGAATTTCAGCGAAACGCACATTACTGGGGTGACCGCACAGCCCACGTAAGAAATTTCAGCCCGATCAGCCCAGCAGTTTAGACACTACAGCTAAGCACATAGACAGTCACAACAACTGAGAATGAGAGTCTCCTAGAGGTGAAATCCAATAAACATATTTTTCTTATTCTTTGCCCAAAATGCGTTAATTTTTTTACCTCCTCGTTTGTTGGGTTTTATTATTTTGAAACAAGGTTAGTAAATTAACTGATTGATGGGAACAAGCCGAAAGCAAAACGAGGTATTCCTATAGTAAAACATCTACTTCAAGTTCTGAGAGTTTTCGGAGGGGGGGGGGGGGGGCGAATCATGAAACTTTGAGAATCATGGACAGTGATACGTCTAGGGGGGCGTCATAGAGGCAGCAATTTATAGGGAGGGTTTGTTGCTGTTTGATGATTTAAATAAAATAATAATAAATTCCCCCTCTTACTTCGCCCTTGATTTATTAATTCTCATGTACAACAGCATCTAAAAAAAATCTTTATATCCCAGAATTCTTTTGAGGTATTATTTATGGGGGCATCATTATAAGAAACTAGTCATAGGCAGCAGGAAAGTTCATCCTGTCACATAATTTTTGAACAGGCAATACCTTCTGGTTTTTCAGTTCCAATTTCCATGTCTTTTGAGTTTTCAGCTTTTTCCTGTTCTTCCTTTTCGGCCTTTTCCTGTTGTTCCTTTCTTTCTTTTTCGGTCTTTTCCATTTCTTCCTTCCTTCTAATTTACTCCTCTTCCTTCTGTTTTCTTTTTTCTTCTTCCATTTTTTTCAGTCGCTCTTGTTCCAGTTTTTCTTCCTTCTCTCGTTTAACACGGGCTAATATTTTAAAAAACATAAAGCGATGTTACATGAAGATCAACTTAGAAATGATATCCAATAAAGTTGCAGAATCGGGACTTAGCATGATTTGAAGTTGTATTTTCAAACTCCTCAAAATTCCAAATTCGATGCAGCTGAATTGGTGTTGGGATTTCAGACTCCAAATTATGAACTTATTATTTATCGATTTTAATCGGTAATTTGTCTGAATGTCTGTATGTATGTTTGTTTGTCTGTTAGATGCACGCGATATCTCACGAAAGCGAGATTGAATCTGCTCCAGATTTTGCATGTGCATTAATCTTATCTCGGACCAGAAGCCTATTGATTTTGGGTGAATTATGTCGTATAATTAGCGAATTATCAATCAATTATTGATATAGTGATCTAGATTTTTGTAAAGCGAGAGAATTTTGAGACCCGCCGAGTGTGTGTGTGCGATGCGCAGTGTGCAAGTTACAAGAGCGGATGAATCGAAACTGCAGTTTCTGTTTTGGTGGATCCCCTAACTATCGATCGATAAGTCTTCGGTTTCCAACCGATATTCTCGTTTCAAGTTTAAAGATGTGGAAAAAACTTTCAAATACTTGGTCTACCTTTTAATGCATCAAGATACATTGTTGTTTTTTCATCAGGCAATGCCTCCCTGGTCAGTTCTTCTGTTAAAATACACTGTTTGGGAAATTCTTCTGTGACATCCTTGAGAGCCTGTTTGTAGAAAAATGAAATTTAAAAAATTAGGAGAGAGATAAGAGGACAAAGGACATAACAAAAATAATAAAATTTTAGTCACACAAGTATATTGGATAATACATTGAGTTTAAAAAAAAGATCTTGATGGTGGAGGCCGTACCCAACAGGAGTTCTCAGAGTGGTCCATACATTCCCAGGTCCCCCGTGAGAAAAACCTAAGGAACAGCAGTAATAAAATTTGACGACAGCGAGGTGGTTCGGAGTGATATATGAAAACGAAGTAAAGTATCCTTCGAAATAAACAGTAAAGAGTAATTGAGTTCTTACCTCAAACAAAACAATCTCATAACGATCAGGATCAAGTTTTGATAAAACTTCTTCATATTGTTCCATTGTTGAGTAATAACGAACTTCCTCTGCTCTCTCTCTAAAAGTAAAAGGTAATCCAGCAATTGATAAAAAGGCTGGAAAGATGGTTCAATGGTCTGTGGCCTCTTTTAAAAACTATCTGCACATGTGGCACTTTCATAAAAAACTCGGTTCTGTTTTTTATTGCCTAGCTAATATGAGTAACAGCATTTCCAATAATACGGCTTAATCATAAGGCGAACTACCGGTTACCAGTCCATGTCGAGTATGGGATTAGTTAGCAAGTTATTTGTTTCAGATGAAAATTATTAAATAAATTACGGTCTCAACACTAAAATGCAATATTTGCAGTAGATTTATTGAATTTGAATGCCATGATTTAAAAAACAACAAAAATATAAATCTTGAAATTTAGTCGTTAAACTGTTAACAAAGTACCTACAGATTTAGCCTGTCCTTCGATCAAACAGCTAGCCAAACATTTTCATAAACATGATAAATGGGAATTTAAAAAAACACACTACTCACACAATCAGCCTTCTAGCAAGGAACCAGTACTTATTTCCATGTCTATCCATTCCAATTGGTTCGTGTCTCAGATATTGACTTTTGAATTCCTGCTGGGGTTCGCAGTTAAAGACTCCGTTTAATTTATGAGCTACGCAGATTTCACATTGCCATTCATCGTCTGGGACCTGGAAGACGAAATATTGTTTTCAGATCAGTGTTTTTTCCTAACCTGGGGTGCACGTGCCCTGAGGGAGCAAGAACTGTGTTTTGGGTTTGTTAGAATGCTTAATTGTTAAGTTCAATTTATGGGTCACACACGTCTGGCACCTTAAACTAATTAAGTGTAATTTTTATGATTTGTATTCACACCTCAACTCTAAACAAGGTACACACTTGTGTATAGAACAATTATGTTTTAGAAAGAATCTGAATATTTTAGTTATGAAACAGCGAAACTATGGGAGTACAATGAAAGTAAAAAAAATGGTGGATCTACAAAAAACATACAAGCCTTTGAACTAACTATGTATTTGAGAATATTCTAGGTTAGTGAAATATTTTAAATGGTTAATTTCTATTCAAAGACAATATATAAAATACAATATAAATAACAATACATACCTCTACTAACGGTGGGTCACAACAAGCCAAATGATACACAGCAGGGCAAGTTTCACAGCAAAGTAGATCTCCTAACTTGTGGCAAACTCTGCAGTTATCATCGTAATGTATCACTCCGTCTGTCATTAACTGGTCTCTAATCTTATTCGACGTTAAATATATGTCTGTGAGTGTCTTTAGGACCTGGAAAATAAAAAGTTTTTGGTAAGTTTTCGACAGTTTCAGTTGGTTTTTGTACTTTTTTCAAATGTTTTCGGTAAGAGAGGTTTCGTTTTTAAATACACAAATTGGAAAACCCTTGCTTGAGGGGTATAGTTTTTAGGCACACTCAAAACAGACTCATAATTGAGCAAAGTTGCGAGTAGTCACTAGGCTTACTTTTTATCATTGCCATGGCATTTGCAGAGATAAACAAACCGTACCAATATATTAAATAGCTCATTGGCAGACTAATTCTGAGCATTTTATTGCAAAATTTTGTTAATAGACCAATATGTTTTAACATCAGTACTTATTAAGGATAGAAGAAGTTTATTTTATTTCCAACCATTGATCAAATTTATTATGGGTAATAAATAACATATGGTAAAAATGCAGGTGACACAACAATACATTTGAATACCCACCTTAACCTTATCCTCCACGTTAACTCTTGGAAACTTAGGATTCATAGCAATCTTCAAAGCTTCAGGATGTTCCCCAGTGCTTTCAAGATATCCTCGAACAATTTCAGGCCACGTCATGTGATCGATAAAGCCAACTGCCGCCCATATCGAGTCTTTTTGATCCTTGAATAAAGAAAATTTAGATCAGTAAGGTTTCTGAATAAATGATTAGATTACTTTTATTCTCTCGTCTAACAGTTGGTAGATTGCAAAAGTAAATGCTATTGAACTGTTTCAAGCAGGGCCGTGCCTTCAAAAAAAAGACTAATAAGTTGAAAAAATTTTGATTTTAACATCGGGCTGTAAAACATTCTGGCCTCGACTCCAGATCAGAACTCCATTCCCAATTCTGATTCCAGCTCTTAGCTATATATGTCAAACACTGACAACGGCTCCACTGACTCTGGTTTCAAGCAGTTCATTTGATTAGGCCCAGTCTTCTTTCTGACCATAAAATTCCACTGCAATATCAGTTCTAAGTTAGATAAAACCATGGATCACTTACATGAGGTCCAAATAACACTCCAGCAGAATCTTCTTCTCTCAGAATAGATTTCAGAACTGATGTGAAGCACTAGAAACAAAATATTACAGCATTATTATTAAGGCTCCATATTTTTAGTTTTTTCATTGCACCAGGGGTGTGCAACCTGTGGCCCGCGGGCTAAATGCGGCCCACAAGAAAAAATTGTGCAGCTAGCAAAAAGTGCCAATTTTGAATGATGTGTGGCCTGCAATACTAGTTTTTAATTTAGTTCAATCAGTACGTGCGATTAATTTCAATCTCTTTGCTTTGCAAAGCCTATACCAGAGTCAAATTTATTATCTATGCTTATGCTGTTACAATGCCCTAAAAGCTAGCTTGTGAGAAACGAACAACATGTTATAAGGGCAATAGCAGATCATTGGCTGCTTTGTCGAGATCTCTATTCATAATGAAAGTGCAAAAACGATATCCTGAAATTTACAGTCAATGGATGTGTCTCTCCCCCTCTCAAAAATAAACAAAAAACCAAAAAAAGATGTATAAATTTTACCTCCGTTAGTAAAATATTAGTCTCTTCATCAACGAGAGCAGCACAGAAGTCTTCAAACAACATCGGAGAGAGACGGAGACAGGAACGAAAATGACGAAGCGTCTGAAACAGAAAAAAAAAAAAATTTACCTTTAGGCAAAGAAAAAGGCTCAGGTCAAAGGTCAGAAAGCACCATTCAAATAACACTATGGTGAACCAATCCGGGATCAAACTTTTTGAAAGTTGTCAATCACTCGACGTCCCCAAGGCTATGGAGCCGGACTTTTGCAGGTTTTTATTCGTATTGAAGCTTGATTAGTACTTTTAAACCAGCACAGAATCGGGAGTCAGAATATCAGACTTCTAATGATGGCAATCAAAGTTGAAATTTCTGAGAAAAACTTAAAAAACTGAAGCCAAAGCTCTTGATGGTCATGTCAGCTAAACACAAATTCTTTGTACATTTTTGGACTTTGAAATACTTACACAAAATAAAATTCAATATGTATTGAAATAGAAAATATACAAAAGCAACATGATGCGTTTACCGTGATTGTGAACACTCAGATCAAGCATGGATCATGGTTAAGTGTTTAAAATGATTTAATTTAGTGCGGAAATACCTTGGTCATAACATAAAACTGAAAATACCATATTATTGTCACATCATGACCAAAGATAGCAGGGCTACCCAACAAATAGGGGTATCGGAACAAAAAGGATAAGCCAACTTATCTTAGACCAAACCATTAAAATATGATTGCAATAGTAATACCAACAAGCTCACCTCATAAACACCAAGCACTGGTAATACCAGGTTATTTGGTACCAGCAGGTCTTTACTAGATTCTGGTAATTCAAGAGGGGGACAATCTTCATCCATTTCAATGTCAGAGTAATCTGACAGATGCATTGAGGTGTTTTCTGAATAAAATTTCGATAAAAATTTCAAAACAGTAATTATATATAAATGATCACGGGCTTCACGGCGTCAGGAAACTCAAATAATCCAGAATGACAGAAACATGCTTAAAGTTAGCTATGTTGGAAAGATAAGAGAATACTGCTATTACTTAGCATTGGAGTAATAAAGACACCGGGCAGAACGTTGAAAGATTCAACACAGTGATAAAAACAAAAAACATTATGTATTTTTACCCATTCCAAACACAAACTGTCAAATTAGGATTTTATGCTAAAGTCTGATTGTTTACAAGGGTCACACGAAATGGCTTGGCAGGCAGGGTTGTGGCACGCAATCCGCCTGTTGTGTTAATTGTATATTTATTGTATTTCTGGCAACAAGCATTCTCTAAGATGGCTGAGCATGACCTGTGACGTCATCGGTCACAGATGACTGATCATGACAAACCAGCTGTGAAGGTGAAGTAGCCATGGATTTATCAAAGTGATCAGGCAGACCGCCTGTTGCACACCCATGTTTTAATTGATCTAACTGATAGTTGCCGATTAGTTTTCACCTTTGATAATCGTCATGGGTAGTAAAAACCTCTTTCCTAATGTATATTAACCTAACGCAATAAGATTAATTTAACACATGGTTATACCCAGTTAAACTGTGTAAAGTATCATTTTCTTGTAATTTGTGCTGGTTGGAAAAAATAAACTTGACTTGATAGAAAATGATCATCTCTTGGTAAAAACCTTTTTCACCATGCCATTTATCTTAGTGACAATTTGGTCAACCACTGACACCCTCAAAATAAAGATTATTCTATTCCCAAGTCAGAATACACCACACCCCCGACACACCCACTTTCTTACCCAATGAGGAGACATCATCTTCTTCTGCTTCATCAAAACTAAAATCATGATCAGAATCATCAGAGTTTAGTTTGCTGTCAGCATCTGAGTCTTCAGTGGTGGCCTGAGTCAAAAAAGATTTAAACATTCAACACAAACATGACTCTAAGCACATCATGTTGATTGATCTACAGCGAGAGGGAAAACTGTTTGCAATTTAAATTCAACTAGGAGAGTGGACACACCTATGACACGCCCACTTAACAAGACACGCCCTTACCACACTATTTGTGGCAAAATATTGTCAAAATTAGTGTTATTACACAAAATAAGCTGCTAGAATAACGATGCAGCAAAAAATGGTCCCAACTCCAGCCACATTTTAGGCCACAGTCATAACTTGCCTATATTTTAAAGCCACACCTCTGACACACCCACCTATTGTCAGGAGATACATAATCATACATATTAGAGTTGGCACATCTATGCCACGATGTTGTTTAAAGTAAAAAAATTTGTCGATATGTGAAAGGTATGAAGATCAGCCCTCTATAGCGGACACACCTTTGCCACACCCTATTGAAGTACAACATTGTCAAAAGAGGAGTGAATTATGTCCAGACTCCTAACACACCCACCTCTTCAGACACCCCAATAATAGGTAAATATGCCCATGTCACACATATTTGCAATTCGACACAGTACACATGCCTCTACCCCACCCACATTTTAGGCCACACCCATATATTTCTAAGCCACGCCTCTGACACACCCACCTCTTCATCCTCTTCAGGAGACACATAATCAATTTCGAATTCTTCATCTTTCTCCAAAACCATTTTAAATTTTTTCTTTTCATTTTTTGCTTCTTTGTCTTTTTTCTTTTTCTTTAATTTTTTGGAAGATTTGCTAAAGTTTGAAAGAAAAATAATATTCACTTTAAAGTTGATTTTTTAAAATTCAAATGCAGCAACAATCAGGTTAGGGAAATGGTCTATATCGCACAAATATAAACCCAATGGGAATAATTATGTTAAAAACTCATCAATATCACAATGTGGTTCCCATGACAACTAGTCTGTTATGAATTTCTTTCCAATCAGGGGCCAAATGTAAGTGTAGTGTGGCGTAAAATGTTACAATTTATTTGCAGCGTTGCAAATACAAGAGTGGAAAACAATAAGCTTTGTGCCAAAATTAAATTTAATCGCTATCTCAACAAATTCCTTGATCTATTTTTTAGTGAAAACCTCAAAATTTGGTTTTTTATTGGAGTTGTGGCATCATAAAGCGGGCCAGATTGAATTACCCAATTGGTCTGGCTGATTTAGCCCGCAGGCCGTAGTTTGACCATGTCATATCTAGACCATGGTTTGTCATCTGGCATTTTTGCGATCCATGAATTTTGGTGATTACCCAAATGAAATTGATTTTATTCACGAAGCATTTTAGCCCAGAAAAAAGCTCTACTATATTCAAATAGTCCATCTAATTTCTTGAGGTCTCAAGATAGCTTAAGTAGTCTTCAGTTTCACTCTGAACAAGACTCAAGACAAGCAGATACTCTTACATGATGGGGTAATATAATTCTAAAAGATGGAAAACCACATATTCGCTCCCAATGTATTGCACCCACAAGATAGCTCAGATTGTTTTTTTGAAAGGACCAGACTCTACTAAATGAACCAAACGGACCAGAGTGGTGTCCATCTCTCTGAGAATAGTATCTAAATTTGATGTATCGGTAGATGCTATTACATAGCCTTGTTCAGTGTGAAAACACTGCCTAAGAATGGTGATGGCGTTATTTTTACCTGTTTGTTGATAGACTGGATGGTGTTGATGCTCGACTGCTTCCTGGACTTTTGTTGCTGAAAAATAAAAAAATAGGCTTCAAAAATCATTCAACTTAAGAATGAATAGTAATATTTCTTTGTAAAGTTGTGGAAAAAGTTGCGAAACAGAAATTACTGATTCGCTATACAGGGTGTCCATAAAGTCCCTTTACTACAATTTCAATTTTGTTATGAAGTCATTTCTCAATATATCTTCACCAGGTTTATTGTTTTTAATCAGTAATTGTTCAGGTATTTTTAATTCATATAATACATCTGTGAGGGCCAAAACAATACATGGTATCGACAAATTCCCTTTAAAAAATTTCAAGACTTTTTAAGGACACCCTGTATATATATAAATAAGATCAGATATATTCTATAATGGCATGAATTCGCGATTGATTTGCCGACCAAGCCGATATATAGAATTAAATGAATGTCAAACAAGTCTTTTCGGACAATTATAAAGCATTCTGAAGAACAACTTTTTAAGCACTTTTTTTTAATAGAAATTCGAAACCTCGGCAAATTAAATCGTTTTGCTATACACCAGTTGTGCTTCACTTATCTCCGACATGAATATACTTGGTGGCAATCATGCGCTATTTTTGAGCATATTCTTCTCATATTTTCAATGTTCATTTTCAGAATATAAATTTGCTAACACATCCAATTTTTTTACATGTTTACCTCAAGTGGATTTAATTTTTTTCAGCGAATCAAAAATTGAGTTAATGCTTTTAAAGAACAATATTTAGTGAAATGCAAAAATAATTCAGTCTTCTATCCTGCGGAAACATTTCGACTTCGAACTATACTCCAGAGGGTACATTGCACAGAATTTTCCTATTATATTTTGAAATTCATTACATATATGGAATTGCCTCTTCATTAATCAAATTGAAATCAAATGTTTTGTGTCTAGTGTTGAACTGCATTTACTGGCAGATAATTTGTCAGCATAATTTTATGAAATTTGAGTAGCGCTTGCCATTTGTACCCTGATGTAAATAATTTAGCCGGATGTATTTGTACGACATAGATTTGAGCAAACTTTTAATGAAGGAAGAATAAGAAACAGTATTTGTGAACAATTCATATCATTTTTTTAAAAGACGTCGCTGGAAGCAAGAGCAACTAAACTATAAAGACTTGGCTATAATAGCTTCATGTTCACGAATATTAAGGATGTTAGGCTTCAAGTCAGATATTTGTATCAGAAGATACCTGCTGACCTGAGAGAACAGCCAGGACAAACACCAATTGCAAAATTGAGTGAGACAATAGCTTATTGTGCATCAGTACTTATGTCTACAAATGCACACACAGATGAAGCTATTGCTGTATTGCCTTACTACCCAATGCTTCCCTAGCTTTGTTTCAAAGAAGTGTAAAAATAATTAATAAAATTAAATCAACACACAATTGACTTCTGCATTTAGGAAATCCCGAAACCCTTTCAAAAAAAATAGGGGTCTGCAACCCAAACTGTCAAAAAAAAACTTTCCCGCGTCTACGTTGCGTAAATTCGGTTTAAAATGGTTTCCCGGGAAAAGCCGTTTGTAAGACTTGCTCGCCGGGTAAAATTTTCAAAATTTCGACAAAAAGCACGTCCAAGGGTGATCAAAATCACAAGACACGGTTGAGCAAGCACAGTGACATCACACAACAACAATTCTTAATGACCTCACAGTGACGTCATCATTTACCTTGGCAACAACTTTCGGGTTGCCGCAACCCACCCAGGTGAATTTGTCAATTTCTTCAATTCCGCGTTGACTTTTTGATCTCCGGCGAAACAACTAATCCATTCACCCTCTCCGTTTCGTTGCTTTTTCTTAAACATTTTCAATTTCTCCATTTCCCACCCAAAATTATTAAATTAATATCGGTAACTAAGGACAAATCACGTCTATTCCATCGCCATTGCGTCACTAGACCGCCGCCATTAAAAAACGTCCAGGGACCTCGCCGTTGAATGTCACGTGATGCGCAAATAAGCGATAAGCATACTTGTCGATGGTTCAGCACAGCGCTCCAAAATGTAATTTCGCCTAACTCGCGATGTTTTCATCGTATTTTTGAATATGAAATAAAGCTTATTGAATTATTTTGGCAAATATTATCTACATAACAACTGCTTTTAATCATTAATGTTTTTTCTGTTATGAAGGATCTCAAAAATAAAAAGTGTAAAAAACAGGAAAAACTCAACTGCCCCAAATCGAATATTGTGTTAGCTAAAATGTACCCGACCATGCCTCCGATAATATGACACGGAAATAATTGATCATAAACGTTGTTAGTGTTCATTAGTTAGAATGAGGAATTATATAGATTTAGTAAAGGCCTGAATCAAGCAAAATAATATATCTAATTCCACACGCCTGCTCACCAAAATATTAAATTGGTACTATAGAGTAAGGCTCGGCACTAAAATTGCCAATTTCTGTTACGATAATGGTTATTGTTGTCGAATTAAAATAACAATTGAATAATGCAGTCTTGATATTAAAAAAAAGCCGAATAGATGCAAGAGAAATCGTCTTAGACCCAATGTTGTTACTGTAATTACGAGCGCATTGGTTGTCACCAAGAGCGTAGACAGTCCAATATTGGGGTGTGGGGAGGGAGGAATGTTTTTTGTTAGTTTAATGACGCAATAGGACGCTCACACTTACTCAGGTCAGCCAGATAAAAGCGATCACATATATGGTGACAAACAGAGGTGAGAAAAGTTTTTTGACCCGGGGCCATGTAAGTGTGACGTTAAAAATTACATTTTATGAATAATATTTGTGTAATAAAGGTGGAAAACAATAAACCTCGTGACAAAATTAAATTTAACTTGTTTTTTAACTAAACTTTTATTTTCAACTAAAACATGAAAATTAGATTTTAGTTTGGTTGTGAAAGCATCCGTGGGCCAGATTGAATTACCAAACGGGCTCGATTTGGCCCTCGGGCCGTAGCTTGTCCATGTCAGCTCTAAAGCCTAAAGCGAATTCGCTGTCAAAGTTATCCAAGGTATACAAAGGCGCAATTTAATCTATCTCGGTTGGTTCATTTAGTAGAGTCTGGAGGAAGGATTATTGGTAGCAACCCAAGAAACGTCCGGTTTTCGGTGAATGTGGGGTTGGAAAAGGCGTATAAAATCATGTCTTACAGCAAACCCCGCAAAATTGCATTTGAAAAAAATGTTAAAAAAAAATTTACTTCTGAACCCTTAGCCCCGGCAAGATTCTAATTCTACCAAATATGAAGTAGGCTAGCTCACTACATATCGTTATTGCATAATTAATCGAAGCAAAAAGCGCGAACAATCGACATATAAAAAATTTGCCAACTCGTCGCTACAAACAAGAGCGTAGCCAGTCCAAGTTTTTTTGCTCAATGACGTAACACTACGCTTACTCGTGCCTTTTGCTCCGAACAAAGCCAGATAGAAGTAGTCACTGATATATACCAATATCTTAAATCTCTCTGCATACTTACTTCGCTGTCGAAGCTATCCGAGGTTTTTAGGCATTCGTTTTCATCTATCTTGTTTGGCGGGAGGATTGTTAATAGCAAGCCAGATTATGTGCGGTTTTCATCAAATCGTTCAAGAATAGAGCAAAATGGTGCTGGAAAAGGCGCATGAATTTATGTCGCACTGCAAATACCGCAAAATTGCATTTAAAAAATATCATGTGACCGCAACACATACACACGAAAAATACAAAACTGGTGTTTTCTACATGAGCGCAGAAATAAATTCGATGAAATTATTCTCAATGTAAACATGTCTACGACTCTACGAAAGAGGCGGTTTAACGAGGCTTGGTCCACAAATAAAGAAACAAAAAATACACGAATGTATTGAACTTTCGGACTGTGGTACTTCTAAAACACTTAGCTAATAATATTCAATCTGATATCGTGTGGAATGCATTATTCATTTCTATGACAGACACTGAGACTTTATCACTTACGAAATACTTTTTACAGTCAAGTACGTT